TCATGAAGCTGTCAGAAATTATTTCAGCATTCTTGTGCTTCATTTTGGTTCATTAGGAAGTATTTGTAACATGACTGTTGTTTGAGAGTTCAATATTTTACCATGAATTCAACCATTCACATTAGCAACATTGTTAGCATTTTATTATTAGTTCAGACCTTCACAGAAGCAATGTATTTTTCAAACTTATGATGTTCAATGTAACATAACAACAAGTCAGTTCATGAATTGATCTTTATTTGATTGAAAATATGAAAAATGCACATTTTGTATGAATAAAAGTAAACATAAAATGCAAAACATTGTTGCACAATTCAATGACAGATTATCAGGGTCCCTTTCCTTTTGGTTGATAACACTGACATGAAAAATATTTCCATACTTTTAATGATGCAATGAATGATGCATGATGTNGCTGGCTTTCCTTTTATCTTAATCTAAGAAGAGTTACACAAGTGTCAAATCCTTTTCAAATATTGGCCTTGAAATAGTGCTCAAGCAATTTAAATATGCAAAAATTAAAATCAGACTAACCATTTCTTTTATGGCTTTTTACATCCATTACAGGGTGTCACACCGCGTCTTTTAACTCATCTTTTGTATCTTGCGTTGTAAAGAATTTCAAATGTGGGACACCTGTAACCATAACAATTTATCAACTGTCCTCAAAATAGCGTCACATTTGGATATGTGATACATACATTGTACATAAACATCATATATATCATATCTTTAGCAGTAATGGAATAGGGCTTAGGGGGAGGGGGTGTGGTGAGGTCTTCTTGCCCTTGAAAATAATGGGCCTGAAATAGCAAACAGTAAAATTTTGCTCATATCAACCCATTTGGAAGGATTTGTCTACTATCCATCCTTAAGTTGTGAAAACTTGTTATGTTCAGAAAGCATAATCTAATCTTGTTTCAAAGAGTGTGTAGTCACTCGGGACAGTGGTGAGAAACCCCATTGCATTATGTATCATCTCCCTTGGCATACGTAGAGTCAGGCCCCATAAACGATGATTGCTGTTTGCAATCACAAGCCTCAGATTTGTGCACACAAATGCCCAAATTAAGGACTTGAGCAAAAATTTTAGGGCACGAACTGAAAATCAGTGGCCACGAGCTCTGCATTAAAAACACAAACTATTTGACCAACTTTCATCTGGGTCTCTAGCTGTACACAATCGGGTTCTTTTTCTCCACGGACTATTTTCAGTATGGGGGATGATACAAGAAACTGCATGTTAGAGCTTTCAGAGATTCCTAGTCGAAATAGAGTGACATGTTCCCCACTTTCTACTTCTTTTACAAAAGAGAAAGGATTTTTGTCCAAGGCCCAATAAAGTGGCAGAATTTGAGAAGGAGATCCATGTGTTAGTTGCTGCGGTCACTCAAAGCTTGGAAAAATTTAACGAAGGATAAACAAAAGCCTCAAAACGAACCAAACTGATGTATTTCTATAATTTACTATCCATACCACATAAGAATCCATGAGTAATGAGCTCTTGAAAATCTATGACACGTGCAGAACGTACTGTTTATCTTTACCATGAAATTTTAGTTTGAGAATTTGGGTATTCGTGCTCACAAACCTGAGGCTTGTGTTCATAAACGGCTAACTACGTAGTTTATAAGGCCTGACAATGTACCATTACACATCTCATTGCTTTGCAAAGTCTTATCCCTATGAGGATATATATAGCCACTTTAGAAACACTCCCAGTATCCACTGGCAAAACATTTTTTAACTGATAAGGCTGCACGAAACTTTTCTAGAAGAGAACAACTAAATTGCAGTTCCCCAAGAAGATTTAAAGTTGTAATAGGTAGTATCACATTTTATTTTACAGTCATCATCTAACATTAAAAACAAGTCAGGTATACATTAAAATTTCAAATTGCTACCTTTGAAAGGTAAGACATCATCTAGACTATCAGGCTATACAATCTGATCACCTATTATTTCTGTCAGGTTATTCTTTACTTGATGAAAACATAGTCCTGATGACGTTACAGTCATATAGGATTTCATTTTTTATGCAGCTGAATGTGGTATTGAGCCTTGTCACCCGTGTTGTACACTAAATTTGATAAAACCAAAATTGTTCATAAAAAGTTTGGAATTATTCCCCAACACAATACACATATGTCCCATATGTTTTCCAGTTGAGATTGCAAGCCATGCAGGCAGACTGAAAATCTGCATTATAGCTAGTTTTGGATTTGAGGGCACATGCACGCACCCATACACACCCACACAGTTATGTGTGCCCACAATGTAGTTATTATCAGTAAGTCCATAACTTATAATTTATATTTTGGTTATATTGGAAATCTGAGCAGGACCACTGTAATTGCTTTCTGCTATCATATCAATATGTGTATACTATTTAAACTGTATTGTCTTGTCTATTTTTTTAGTTGAGTCTTCCTGAGTTTTATTATTTGTTTGGTTTTGGAGGAGTGTCAAGGACAAAGGGTTAAGTTATTGATACAAAGGTTTTTGAAATCCTAAAAATGTAGAACTGAAAGAGGGTAAAGGTCTACCTCATTTGTGATATCTGATATAGCATATATATTTTCCCACCTGTGTGGAATGCCTAGTAGGATAAGAAATAATTCACTCGGATAGTTAAAGTGATACAGCAGCAGCGTCCAATTATACTGCCGATAGTGTAGAATGGCAGTGATTGTAAAGAAATGCATTATTAAGCTCACTGTGGTGAGCTAACAATGATAAGAATGCTGTGACAAACACATCATTATTCACTTTACTCCCACATGGACTCCATTGACATTTATCTGAGGTCAACAGTAACCTACACACATTTGAGGAAAACACACCCCGGACATGCTCCACCTTATAACAAACACATTACTTTTTATCTAATTTTGAAATCACTCTGAACAGAACCCATACTGACCATGTTGTTGGATACCAGGGAAAAGCAAAACAAGACTTATTTTTTTAAGCTTCATATAATAGACCCCCCCTTTCCAAAAAGAATACTGTAGAAGGAGAAAAAAGAAAACTAACTCTATATAATTCTTTTTTTTTTTCTGAAAGAAAATAATGATGGACACATTTCATTCATGAGGAAATTGGAAGTGTATAATATCTGTACTTCATTCATCTGAAATTCCTATTATTATTATTATCATTAAGAAAAAAGCATCTGATATCAGGCAGTTTGTCTGAGCAAAGAAATAACTTTCTGGCACAAGGATAGTAAAAAAAGTCGGTGATGAAAATTTTCAGACATTTAATATTTTCTAACAAAAATGAATAATGTTAATTAACATCTGACAAATTTAGCTTATGAACTTATAAACAGAAACGACCATTGTTCTTCAAATAAATTTGGAAAGTAGTTAAAGAGACAGTTGTCATACAAATATCGTGATATCCATCAACAAAACCAATTCATCCACTAATTGATGTGTAAATAGATATTTACAGTGGCACAAATTGTGTATTGTGGTAGTTGAGAAATCTGAATTGGCTTATATTTAACTGAAGACAGACATTATAATAAATAATGAGAAAATAGGCAAATATTAAACAAAATAGGCCTTTTCATTTTATTTTATTTATTATTATTATTTTTATTATTATTTGCGTTATGGTGAGGTGAAACAATTATATCTAATCTTAAAATTCTTAAATAACTACAGATTTAATTGTGGTAGGTGAGATATTGAACAGTTTAATAGTAATCTAAAACTCCCTGCACACCATGTACAGCAAATCTCAGGTGTGCCTCACACTTATCAGAAAACTTGTCAAGGCTTTGGTTAAATAATGACCGTTGCTGTTATTCTTGCGGGCAATGTCAACTTTAATCCAAACTTTCATGCTGTATTTTAGGTGATTATAAAATCGTATTAGTAAGTATTAGTACATGTAGTTCATTTTGATCAAAATTTAATTAAAAAATCACTGTTACTGAAGTGTACTGACTTCCGACATGACACAGTATTTGATATTAACAAGGACAATGGCTAGACAAACCTTGAAATGGCAGATACGATACTGTTTACAATTCGGCAAAACCCAGGAAATCCCCCGGCAATTCCCGCGAAGTAAGTTGTTTCACTGTTTAACGCGCGTAAATATTTGAACCGGTGAGATATATCGCAAGGGTAATATATGAAATATCTACATTAACATGATAAAAATGCTGCATGAGATATACGAATGTTGTTATTCATATCCCTTTTGAGCATTGAAAGGCTTATGTAGTATTTTACGTGTTGAGATAAAGGTTTGTGTTCAATAAGACATCTTGCGTTATACTAGATCCTGGTTACAACATCCGGCCAAACAACCAAGTTTCGCTTTGAAGAGAGACGAAATCAGTGAAAAGGTATGTTTATTCTTTGAACCTTACGTGTTTACTGGATATAATGATAGAGAAACTTGTTTAAGAACAAAAGGAAAGCACTTTTTGTTAATAGGTGCTTTCATATATTCTGTTAAACGCTCTGAATTCACGAAATCAACGTTTCCTGATTATGATGGATGATTGATAAGCAATGTGAAGGATGCTCCAAAATTCAAAATTATCTCACAATAATTAAGACCGAGAGCGAAAAGNTTCAGACCATTCCTTCCCACCCTACCTCCAATACAATGGTATGGGTACAAATATGCATGCATGTGGTAGTGGAAAAATAAAAATGAATGCCTTGGACATTTTGTGAGATGTTTTCTTTGTACATTTGATCGTTTCAGTACATGAAGTAACATATCTGAAGTGACTCAATTTCTTATTTTGGGTTTGAGTAGCATTACTTTTGAATGATAGGTCATTCATATTCATATTAATCATGTCTAGATGTTACATACTTAAAAAACTGGGTTTTACAAAAAAATGTTCAACAATTAAAAAGTGTGATTTTTTTGTAATTTTAGAAGTTGGAAGTAGTCTGGGTAGTTCTTTATATGGGGATTGAAAAAACTTATTGCCCTATTACTCTACCAATGGTTTTCCTTTGTAGGCATGGGGAAATTCAGAAAAAGACCAACGAACACATATGCGCTTTCTTCACAGCAGCCGGCACTGTTGAGTTTTCGAAGAAAATACCAGCTCCAAATCATTTGTGCAGGTAATTTTTTTAAATAGTGATTATGTCAAGCTGTTGGTATCCCCAAGGCAGTACATCATGACAGGCATGTTTTCTGATATCATGAAATTATTATTCTCAAGTTGTTTTAACTAGTACCATAGAATGAAATACTGTGCAAAGCTACAAAAGAAGTTGTTTTCTTTTTCATGTAAGAAGAGTAGATAACACCTAAACTTTTTTATATGAAATAATCAATTTTTTTCAGTAAATACTTCCTTCAAAAAGACAAAAAGCGATATATCCTAATATATAAGATTTTTATATAACATTTGTTTACCAGTAATTGTCATAACAAAAATGGATTATGATTACCATGTTCCTTTCAGGACAACGCAGCTCTATATTGAACAGTTTCTAAGAGTAATATTGATATGGGACCCAAAGAACAGAGGAGGAGGAATAGAAAAAGAATCCAAAAGGCCCAAATGTTTTGTTTTGTTAGATAATATCTTCAAGATGAAAGTACGTATGTCTTAGAGCTTCAGTTGTATAAATGGTGTAGTTTCCAAATTAAAGTAACAATCTTGGTATTGTTCAAATGACAAAACAGTTTGCATTTAATTTGTATCACTATTCCTGTCATGTATAAACTTTGTTTCTTACTGATGTCATACGAAGTATTTCTGTTAAAAGTTGTGTGTAATTGACTTTTTTTCAGATAAAGAAGTCTTTGAAATGCATAGGCATATCACATGGTCAAATTTTAAGCATTTGAATATAGAAGATGTATAAAAGCTTTTATAATATTATATTAATGTGATAATTTGTCTAAAGGACAATTTAGATATCTTCACAAAAAAAAAAAACAAAAAAAAAAAAAACAGCATTTTGACATCAACCTATTCAAACTGTTTTTCAGGTTATTCATTTTTTGTGTGTGACAACCAATCAGTTGCTCTCCTACCCTGTGACAGAAAACCATAAACTTCTGGATGTGATGAATGTGATAGAACAAGAAACAAGAATCCCAGTTGCTGAACAAGAAATCCTGTTTGCCAGTGGAATAGTACCAGACATCAACCAACCTGCTGTGCAATGTTGGGATGAACAGGTAGTTTATATTATAGAGAATTGAAGAAATATTAAATAATTATTTATTTATTTTATTTTTTTTTGCAGAAAAAAGTATGATTGCTAAAATATGTATTATATCTGACTACACTGGAGGTATCCGACAATTGAGCACACTCAGTTTCATTCCAAGAATATTTTGTGAAAATTAAACCACCATAGGTGCTGAAGAAGGTGTCTACTAATCGATGTTGTTGATCCACTACTGTGTCATTAGATATGTTGCTGTTTTCCTTATCTTGAATTGTATTTTATTTGATTTCCTGTTATAAGCATGTGGAAATATTTTTATAAATTATCTAGGGTGAAGATGAGTCCATAGTGTTCTTATTTCACAAGAAAATAACAGATTTCAGTAACAGTAGTAGCAGTACCACAAGAAGGAAAGCCAAACCCATTCCAGACCTGGTCCAAGTAATGATAGCTGAGCCAAAGACACTGATGCCATATCAGGTGAGAAGCCTATCACATTTATTATGTCTTTGATTAATGTCAAGGTTCAGTTAACCCGAAAACTTAAAACCAGCTCTTCAGATATTGTCAATTTTTATTTACAATATTCAAAACTTAATAATGATTTATTTCTCACACTGTGAAAATATTCCTGATTGAATTTTTCTAACCACAATTTTTGGGGTTCATAATTGCACCCTCTATGTTTTTTCTCCTCAGAGAGTTGTATTTCATATTTGTGATGTTGTGATAGGTTTAAACTGGTTCAGACTAGAATAACATAAATTTTTTTAATCTTTAGGATCAGAAAAAAACATGGGGCCATGCTGTGTATTTCTGCATGGAACAAGCCAAAGATTACAAAAGACTGCTGCAAGCACAGAGAGCTGCAATGTAAGTTATGTGGTTTGTGATGGTGTAGAATTTATAACATAAAACTATGAAAAATATTTAGTTTACTAATGTTTTTACTTTCTTGTACAATTCATCTCTTTTTTCCTCAGGTTGAACTTACTAAGAAACAACTCAATATTCACCAAGCTAAAAACACAAATGACAACAGAAATTACCAAGTTGATGGCCAAGATCGACTTCTCTAAAGAAAGGTAATTTCTGAGAAATTGCAAATTGCTCTCTCCAATACTGATTTGATTTTCTTCAAGTTGTAAAAAACAGAGGTACTATATTATATTTATTTCAAATAATTTCCATTAAGATACTTTTGATCTTTCTTTTCAATTTTTGTTAATTTTTATTTCATCTCATTCAGTATTACTCAAGACATAGAGAGATACGAAGAGCAGGAAAGATCCGGAGGTTTATGTAAGTCTCGTTAAGAAGAGGGTAGATATTAACCCAGGCAGAAAAATAATGTCTTAGTTTTGTTTCCATATTTGGTAGCTGTGTTAGTAGAAAGTGTATAAGGAAAATATCATGTACAGTACAGGCAAATGCAGTTACTTTAACTGTATTGTTCATTTTTATGTACAGACACAGATGTGTCTGTACATATTGCCATCACCTGCGTCTGTCGTCGGCGATGCCGATGCCGATGCCGATGCCGGCGCCGTGCACTTTCCTTGTAAACACGATAAGCGGAGGGCAGTTTTACTTTTTGGCTTTATATTTACAGAGCTGATGAATATTCATAAAACGCAGGTCAAGTTCGAAAATCAGTATGATCGGGCCATTATTGTAGAAGTTATGCTGTTTTTTCACTTTTCAGNTACAGACCATTCCTTCCCACCCTACCTCCAATACAATGGTATGGGTACAAATATGCATGCATGCGCTAGTGGAAAAGTAAAAATGAATGCCTTGGACATTTTGTGTGATGTTTTCTTTGTGCATTTGATTGTTTCAGTACATGAAGTAACATATCTGAATTGATTCAGTTTCTTATTTTGGGTTTGAGTAGCATTACTGTTGAATGATAGGCCATTCATATTCATGTTAATCATGTCTAGATGTTACATACTTAAAAAACTGTGTTTTACAAAAATGTTCAACAATTAAAAAGGGTGATTTTTTGTAATTTTAGAAAGTTGGAAGTAGTGAGGGTAGTTCTTTATATGGGGATTGAAAAAACTTCTTACCCTACTAATGGTTTTCCTTTGTAGGCATGGGGAAATTCAGAAAAAGACCAACGAACACATATGCGCTTTCTTCACAGCAGCCGGCACTGTTGAGTTTTCAAAGAAAATACCAGCTCCAAATCATTTGTGCAGGTAATTTTTTTAAAATAGTGATTATGTCAAGCTGTTGGTATCCCCAAAGGTACATCATGACAGACATGTTTTCTGATATCATGAAATTATTATTCTCAAGTTGTTTTAACTAGTACCATAGAATGAAATAATCAATTTTTCTCAGTAAATACTTCCTTCAAAAAGACAAAAAGCGATATATATCCTAATATATAAGATTTTTATATAACATTTGTTTACCAGTAATTGTTATAACAAAAATAGATTATGATTACCATGTTCCTTTCAGGACAACGCAGCTCTATATTGAACAGTTTCTAAGAGTAATATTGGTATGGGACCCAAAGAACAGAGGAGGAGGAATAGAAAAAGAATCCAAAAGGCCCAAATGTTTTGTTTTGTTAGATAATATCTTTAAGATGAAAGTACGTATGTCTTATAGCTTCAGTTGTATAAATGGTGTAGTTTCCAAATTAAAGTAGCAATCTTGGTATTATTCAAATGACAAAACAGTTTGCATTTAATTTGTATCACTATTCCTGTCATCTATAAACTTTGTTTCTTACGGATGTCATACTAAGTAATCCTATTAAAGTTTGTGTATAATTGACTTTTTTTCAGATAAAGAAGTCTTTGAAATGCATAGGCATATCACATGGTCAAATTTTAAGCATTTGAATATAGAAGATGTATAAAAGCTATTATAATATTATCTTAATGTGATAATTTGTCTAAAGGACAATTTAGATATCTTCACAAAAAAAAAAAAAAAAAGCATTTTGACATCAACCTATTCAAACTGTTTTTCAGGTTATTCATTTTTTGTGTGTGACAACCAATCAGTTGCTCTCCTACCCTGTGACAGAAAACCATAAACTTCTGGATGTGATGAATGTGATAGAACAAGAAACAAGAATCCCAGTTGCTGAACAAGAAATCCTGTTTGCCAGTGGAATAGTACCAGACATCCACCAACCTGCTGTGCAATGTTGGGATGAACAGGTAGTTTATATTATAGAGAATTGAAGAAATATTAAATAATAATTTTTTTTTGCAGAAAAATGTATGATTGCTAATATATGTAGTATATCTGACTACACTGCTGGTATTATACAATTGAGCACACTCAGTTTCATTCAAAGAATATTTTTTGAAAATTAAACCACCATAAGTACTGAAGAAGGTGTCTTCTAATTGATGTTGTTGATCCACTACTGTGTGTCATTAGATATGTTGCTGTTTTCCTTATCTTGAATTGTATTTTATTTGATTTCCTGTTATAAGCATGTGGAAATATTTTTATAAATTATCTAGGGTGAAGATGAGTCCATAGTGTTCTTATTTCACAAGAAAATAACAGATTTCAGTAACAGTAGTAGCAGTACCACAAGAAGGAAAGCTAAACCCATTCCAGACCTGGTCCAAGTAATGATAGCTGAGCCAAAGACACTGATGCCATATCAGGTGAGAAGCCTATCACATTTACTATGTCCTTGATTTATGTCAAGCTTCAGTTAACCTGAAAACTTAAAACCAACTCTTCAGATATTGTCAATTTTAATTTACAATATTCAAAACTTAATTATGATTTATTTCTCAAAACTGTGAAAATATTCCTGATTGAATTTTTCTAATTACAATCTTTGGGATTCATAATTTCACCCTGTACGTTTTTTTTTTCTTCAGAGAGTTGTATTTCATATTTGTGATGTTGTGATAGGTTTAAACTGGTTCAGACTAGAATAACATAAATTTTTTTAAATCTTTAGGATCAGAAAAAAACATGGGGCCATGCTGTGTATTTCTGTATGGAACAAGCCAAAGATTACAAAAGACTGCTGCAAGCACAGAGAGCTGCAATGTAAGTTATGTGGTTTTTGATGTTGTAGAATTTATGACATAAAACTATGATAGTATATTGAAAAATGTTTAGTTTACCGAATGTTTTTACTCTCTTGTTCATTTAATCTCTTTTTTCTTCAGGTTGAACTTACTAAGAAACAACTCAATATTCACCAAGCTAAAAACACAAATGACAACAGAAATTACCAAGTTGATGGCCAAGATCGACTTCTCTAAAGAAAGGTAATTTCTGAGAAATTGCAAATTTCACTCTCCAATACTCATTTGATTTTCTTCAAGTTGTAAAAAAAAACAAGTACTATATGATATTTATTTCAAATAATTTACTTAAGATGCTTTTGATCTGTCTTTTTAATTTTTGTTAATTTTTATTTCATCTCATTCAGTATTACTCAAGACATAGAGAGATACGAAGAGCAGGAAAAATCTGGAGGTTTATGTAAGTCTCGTTAAGATGAGGGTAGATATTAACCCAGGCAGAAAAATAATGTCTCAGTTTTGTTTCCATATTTGGTAGCTGTGTTATTAGAAAGTATATAAAAAAGATGTCATGTACAGTACAGGCAAATACAGTTACTTTAATTGTATTGTTCATTTTTATGCACTTAAAGTTACATATGAAGTCAAATCTTTGCCACTTAATGCAACCAAGGGATCTAGGCTCGCTTTGTATTTGACTTAAACAAATTTTTAGAAACAGACTTTTCACCTTGATGTCAAACTGTTTTTCAGAATGGGAAAAGCCTTGATTTTAGATACATGGAATTATAGACATACCTATCCTGTCAGCCTGAGATATGTTTTAAAGTAATTCATAATCTTTGACATTTTCTTATTAGCATCTGAGAAGCTGAAAAAAAGTTGGACAATGATGAAAGAAGAAATAATGAAGTACACAAAACTGGTAAGATATTGTTTCTGTGTGCTGTAATACTTATGTTTAAACAATGTAAGATGCAAGAAAAGCATAATATAACATTTATAATATAAAAAAAATGAATTAGTATTTTGTCATCAGTAGTAAATCTGTTCGTAGGCAAATTTGGACATTAATAGTCAAAAGATTTTTTTTTAGTGTATCCACAAGGAAACGTCTCAATTTCTAATGAAATAAGCCCCAAAGATACTGGTTATGACAAAAAGATAATGTCTCAAATTTTGATGAATCGAGTACCTTTCTCTGTGAGGTCAGAATAAGATGGTACATGACCCTCTCAGATTTTGATGAAAATTGGTGTATTTGCTCATTATAGACCCAAACCAACATAATGGATATTAATTTGTTTGTATCAACCTTGGTTGCCATGGTAACAGCACTTAAATTAAAATTTTGAATGATACTGGTTGTTACATATAGCTGATGTGCTGTTGTCATGTGTTCCAGCAACAACAGGTCAATGACCTGGAGGTTCACACTCAAGGACTGCAGACCAAGATAGTAGAGTTACAGAGAAGTCCCTATGCTAGAACAAAACAGACAGATACACTGGGTGAAATGTAGGTTTTTAAATGCCAGCTTTTATTCATCTTATGAGCTATCAAAATGTTTTTTCAAAATTGAAAAATATCTGTCCATTATGATGTGGATATACAGGTGGTCCTTTGATGAAAGTGAATCCCAAGAGTTCAGTCAGTTTTATAACTATAAGAATGGTAGTTAAGCCTTTAAAGAGATGAAAACACATAATGAATAAACTGGTCTTTGTGTCAAACAAGTCATGGTGAATGTTTTTGCTTTTAGTGAGGCTGCTGCTATGAAGCTGTACCAAGAATTGAGGCAAATGGCAAGAGGTATAGCTACAATAGTCTGTCACATCACTTTGTTACATTTGGCTTAGGTTTTGATGATTTAAATTACATAACATAATAATATTGAATTATTCCTGTAATGCACTTGTTTTGATGCAAGCATAGTGCACCTAGCTCTCAGTATTGCCTTTTTCAGTCAGAATAAAGTAATACATTTAGTAGAATATCAATGGAAAACCATCTTGATTTGGTACAGAAGTTATTTACCCAGGCTATGCTGTTGGATGCCCCGATATTTCAGAAAAGAGGCAGCAGATTTCAGACAACACTGGCATGGTTCAGGCAGTAGTGAGGTGCTACACACAGAGGGACAAACTTACTGGGGATCTCTACCAACATATCAGGTGGGTTCTGTGTCACATTCCTTTAGGTTAGGACTAGAATAGTTTTCCAGGTTTCATTACTTTAGATGAGAAAGACAATGATAGGATTACATGTGCTAGGGTCAGTTTTAAGGCAGTTTTTGGAGAGGGGGGGGGGGGGGGGGATGGATGGCCAGGCTACATTTGTAGTTGATTTCACAGGTTTTCAGTGTCACTGTTTTTGTTATTTCTTTGTTGCCATAGAAGCCATTCTCACGAAGACTTTATTCAAACGTTTAATGAACCTCAAATACTATGAAATGCATTCTATTATACTTTCTGTTTCCAGCAAACTAGCTTCCTGCAAACTTGACATGTCAGACCTTCTTCCTCGAGTTCAAGAAACTATTGATGACATTAAAGCTGGAAGCAGTGTACTGATGGCATACCAGAAACAGAGGCAAACAGAGATGTGGACTATGTTGAAGAAACTGGTAAGCAGTTGTGACTCTTTAATGTGTGTGTGTGTGTGTGTGTGTGTGTGTGTATGTGTGTGTGTGCGCTTGTTTGTGAATGCATGCATGCATGTGTGTGTAGTCAGTCAATTCACTTTTGGTTAATATCTTATGAATTGCCCAATTAGAAAAATGAAGTGTACAACTTTTTATTAGATAAATATGCTGAATGCAGTTCAAAAGCAATGTTGCTGATCAACTTCTTGCAGTTCTTTTTAAAATCATAATTCATAAAATTGGGGGCAGCTGTAATAAGGACAGTGACATTGCCAGAGGTATCATTGTTCCTAATGCATCTGTTCATAGCTGGTTCATTTCTGGAAACATTACCAGTACATCTTTATATACTGATCCCAAACTGTTTCAGGTACAGAGGAGCCAGGCTCCAGGCTCTCAGCCTCATTCTCTGACCAGCAGCTTGATGAGGTCAACATCCAGGCAGAGTGGGAGCAGTGGGGGCAACAGTTTCAGTCAGATGTTCGAGAAAAATATGGAGGCTTCCTCGATGCTTAGGACAGAAAACGAGGACAGCAAAACTAAGTAGGTCATCTGCATGTAATCTGGTAGTGAAATTGAAGGTTGGCAGCCTATAGGTATTTTTTTGTGTAGTGATTATCAGGCTGTCAGCCCAGTGCATGTGTGTGGAAAAAAGTAAGATTTTAAAATTTCCAAATATTCATTTCAGTGCATGTTAGGATAAAGTTCATTTTGCCTTCTAGATCCAGTGACATCCTGTTCAATGGAATATATCAAATGTAATAGCATTTATTTGATCATTACAGACTGGAGAGCACACTTTCAAGCCTTGTACTTGAGCAGGAGGAATTCTTGTCAGCTGATAATCAGTTGCAGTGGGATTTCTTGGCTGAGGAGGAGGCACCCTCTATACAGCAAGGGGCAGACTTGTCTTAGCGAAGAATTTGAATGTGCCATTGACATTATTTGTATGCATGGAAGGTCCTCCAGACAAGAACTGTTTATTGGAAGATCTCAATTTCCTAAAATTTATGCTCGGAAAAAAATACATTTGGATAGAAGTGGGCAGAGAGTCAATTAAATATGTGCATCTATGAACATTTTTCCCACTTTGAATATAGGGATGAGGATGGGGGTAAAGCTCATGCCATTTGAAAAGAAGAATAAAAACATTCTCTTTTTCTGGATTATTTAGTGTAGAATAATTCATATATAAAATGTGCATGTAAAACCTTCTCACACCTGCTGAATTACCAAGAAATTCAAGCATTGGCACTCCTTTTGACAATTTTATATCTATGTTAGCATAGTATAGATATCAGAGTCATTAATAGGAGTGCTAGCTCATGAATATCATGCTACTGCTGAATCAGCTGTTGCATAACAATCTTCTTACATATGCTTACATATTTGAGAACTTTTTATTCTCTAGTAGAGTGCATACCATAAAAAAGTTCCTGTATTGTAGGGTCAATATTGGTGCTAGAGCCTAAAGTGGAGTCAAAAATGAGACCTTACTCTAGTGTCTTATGACAGATGCCTTTAGTGCGTTTTTAGAATATGCAGGTTTTGTATGTATATATGTATAATATAGTAACAGTGTACAATTCTGCATGTGCTAAGATCATCTACCCAGCCTGATAGACTGTTGTTTGTGTAACCATGCAGATGATGTTTAATTAATGTTGATGGTTGTTTAAAATGGGAATTTGAGAATAATCACTATAATTTAATATTTGGAAGGTCTGCAATTATTCTCTATAGCTCGCGATTTATAAATGAATGAAATTGTGATTCACTATCTTGCTGCAGACTACTAAACATGTAGTCAAACACCATGACATTTTCTCTACATTGTAATACACTATGTTTACTGTTCCTCACAGAGTGGGTAGGTGGTACTGGTATCATGTAAAATCTACCCACATACATGATGTTATTATAAAACTGTTTACATAAAAAGCTTATCCATGTAGCTTTAGATACATAAGGTAAAACATAAAGAGTTTTCTACAACATCAATTATATCAAAATTGGTGTTTTGCTTCATCCAGTTGTTTTAAACAATGATGGGATTCATCTGAAGAAGGCCTTGTGATAAGCTTAAAACACAGTGACCTCATTTCAAGTGTAAGCTCCAGTATGGAATTTGATTATAATTCCATCTTTATCTTAGTCCATATAGTATTATTATATAGGCATACAATTGGTAAAGGTCAGTCCTCCTGGGAGGACAGTGCTCTGGACAAATCTGCTTAGAACCAAACTGGACACCTTTCAAAGCTAACTGACATTGAAGGCTGAAAAAAAAAGACCATTCCCAAGCACAGTATTGTCAGTTTTTTAAGTATCTGCACTGTTGAACTTTCAGCCATATTCGGGGGACGCAATATCTGGACACATGATCCAACAAAAAGCACAAAATTCATAGCCTTTCCAGACTGATGGTGCGCAAGACGTGCATAAAAATAACAAGTTACTAAATTGTCTTTCATCTATTATTGACTGCTCTGTACTGTGTCCTTTTAAATGCCTGTGATAAATTGGTGATTTCCTGTCAACAGTATGCAATGACATCTCATTTTTTAGGTTCCATTAGAGGTATTAGTATAGAATAATTCATTATATTAAAATCGGCATTCTTTTAAATTTGAACATGTATCAACTTATTCATGACTTGTCTTTGTCTAAGGCATTCTGCAAGTAGAACTTGATGTACATAAATGGCATATATGTTGAAATCATGCAACAACATACCATGAAATGATTATATATTTAATAGCATTAAGTAACAAATGTCTGTAGGTAGTCAACGTTAATTTATTTGATAAAGTTGAGGTTTTTAACTTTACAAATATAAATAGCCATAAGTATATAAATGAACCTTTTTGTTTTAAATTTGGTTAAGGTCAAACCTGATTCAGTCCAACAACCTTTGGGCAACATTTGAACTCCAGGACTTAAGAACCCTTAAAAACAAAAAGTTGAATGGACTGGATTTAGACAAGACTATGATCTTCCCGTCTACATATATTCATACCAAATATGTAAAAAGTGCAGATTAAGAGCATCTAGTCTAGAAGTTGTTGTTGTTTTTTTTTTTTTTGCCATTGGGGAAATTTTTCTTCCTCCAACACAGACTTTTTATCTCATTGAGATTGGCAACACGATCTTAATTTGCACTTAGTTCATAAAGGATGAAACCTGAATACAAATATCATTAAAAAATTTCACTTTATATGATACAACATATGTAGGAATTACGTAACTATTCTTTCAGTTAATTTGCTGTTTTTTTGCGTATGTCAGTCAAAGTATACTGTAAAGGAAAATGAATGGTGGATTGATGAAATACTTTCCATTTATAGAACCTAAATAAATCAATTCCATCCATAGGTGAGGCTTCTGTTTTATTTGCAGCAAACAGGAAACTGGTGACTAGTTATTGTATTCAACATTCAATACCACTGTTCCTAAATGTAAAATAATCTGCTGAGATTCTAAGGAAGTATTTAAAGCAAACTTTACATTTAGACATTTTTTAAATTATGGAAGGTTTTGCCTGAGACAATGTTATGAATGGCTTATATGATAATAAATAACATGAAAATACCTGCATTAAAATCTGTAACATTATCTTACAATAACACTTTCTATATGCTAAATTTGTATATATGGACCACTGCAAATCATCACTTCTCTTTGAATGGTAATTCAATCACAGACATTTGAAAGAGATGGTATGAAAGTATTAATAATATTTCAAACGGATTGTATGCCCTACACTTATCTACCTAATGCACACAGAATCTGAGTTACTCTTTATGTAGTGTTTTTCTCAAAGCATTTGTATTCTGTTTGATGCTACAATGAACAAATGAAATGTGAAGATAAGGCAACTTGCATGCAAAATTTAAGTATGTGCATCCTATGAAAAATCTACAGACAATGTAAGACAAAATTTTGGGGGAGATTAAAGTTCATCTTTCTTTTCAGGGGTTTTCCTTTTACACACTCCATTGTAGTCACAGTTTGTTGCATATTGCTTGTAATTCTTTTTAAACTCCTCATATGAGCACATTTTGTGGCCACAGAAGGGCAACTGGACTAATTTCTCATTCACATAAACCTGGACCATTAAGTTCTGTATATCTTCGGGCCATCCATCACGCCTGTTCTCCTCTGAGGTCATACCCTCCTTATCACAGTGGTACAAGACAAATGCAATATTTCCAGCAAAAGGACTAATGACACTGCTCCTGAACTTCCTATTTCTGTGCACCCGAAAGTTATCTGCTCTCAGAGGCACCTCATCTTTGAATAACCCCAGAAGACAAAACAGAGGAAATATTGTTTCTGCATGACCAAATTGGAAAACTGCCTTTGGATGTCTGAAAAGATAAGAAAAATGACACTTTAACTAATAACCTGAGGCAAGTAATTATTTTTTATGGAAAAAGTATCATTTCATCAATGCATTGGGCAATCCAATAATTACTTGGGCCAAAGTTGGGACCCAGAGCCCCTGTGGTTATTAAAAAATGACTTATTATTGATTAATTTTTAAAAAAGGAAGGCAGCTACTAATTTATATTCCTTTGCTTCAAATGATCAACTTTGAGGATTTTGCTCCATAAACAATGCAAATTTTGTTCATTGTGTTTTGAGTGAACACTTTGGCAATTTTTAAACATTTTTTCTCATTTGCCAAAATTCAACACTGCTACAAAATATATATAATGATCCTAAAGAATTGATATACAATCAACACAACCAAGAAATATAATCTCTTTCCACTGTTCCTCAAACTATGCTCTTAAAACCTAATCTGTTTTAGAATACAGCATCTAATGTGTGACTTGAAAGGTGTCAAATCTCAGCTTTAGTGTTTATGGAATGTGTAAATATTACAAGGATGGTGCTGAAAATTCTGTGCACCCACTGAAGGAAAAATCAACATGTTTTACATGTTCTCCTCTGTAAGTATTGTAGCAGAGTCTAAAGTATGAAAGATCACAATGGCAGGTGCAAGGGAAGGGGGGCACAACAGCACAGATCCCTCACCCTTTGTCTCTCTCTCTCTCTCTCTCAAGAAGTATAGCTGCATTACAAGGAGAACAAAACAAAACCAAGCATGAGGGTCCCATTGTTTTGTTTTTTTTTATCCGTGATAGCTTCTTTTTATTTTACCGAGATGCATGAATTGTTTGCATTTAAATATTTAGCGAGATCCATTAAGAGCACTGTTCCTGTGACTTGTAAAATGTTTTAATTCTTTATCGTTCTTGAAATGTAATGTATCACATACCCTTCCTTGCTATCAGCTGCTGAATCCAAGGTGTGTATGATATCTGCTAAAAGAGGACAGGACTGAGCATAATTGACAACATAGCCATAGGACTTTTTCCAGTATTGCTGAAATAGAAATAAAATGCACAGTGTATAGAACAAGCACTGTGTTACAGACAAAGGACAGAATGACTGAACATATACCTGTCATACGCATACTGATATTTTAGAAGAATATCTCACTAATTCCTTGCATATTGGGGTAAGTTTCCAAGATGTTAAAAAATTATTTATGAAATGCTAACCTTCAAATCAATTAATTTAGTCCCTGCATGTCAATTCTGTAAACAAGACTCCTGCATTATATTACAATAGGTATAACTTTGCAATTGGTAATTGTTAATATAAAGAACATATGTAATTTTATTGAAATCTGTTATGTTGACATGGGCGAAAAACATTTCAAATATATGAAAAAAATTGAAACTATGTAAAATAGTTGTTACTAATGTATACTGACAGTCGATGAAAATGCATCATTTTTTTTATCAAAAAAGACCAAATAATATTTTAAGTTCCTTTGGAACATTAAGAAAATAACAGTTTTTGTGTGAAATATGACCCATTATTCAGTCAAACAAGGTGACTCTCTTATGACCAAACAAGGGTATTTGTACTCATTTATAAGGTTGAAATTGATTCTCGGTAAAAAAAACAAGAAAGTTTTCTGATACGTTTTCATTGACTGTCAGTATATTTGTATAATCACAAGCTTTTCTACATTCTAGTCCATGCTAGGAGGAGGCTGTAAATATGACTGCATTCTGGGACAGTCACCATGGAGTTATAGTGTGCATTACCAAGGCTGACAAAATTCATTGTAAACAGTCCTTAAGAAATACAGCTGCTGTACGTTATAGATATCTCACCTTAAGATCATCAAGGTAATCCAGGACATGCAAATCTTCTAGGTTAAGTACATCACACCAGTGTGAAAAACCGTAAAAGGCAACCTCATAGGCACATATCCTAAATAATCCCATTAAATCATCTGGAAAGGAATATTATAACAATCACAAACCTACTACTATGTACCTTAGGCAGTTTCTATCATGATATATATATGTGGTAATAAAAGTTGCACAGTTGTGCAGTTATAATTGCATCACCATCATTAAATATTACAAGCAATTTTGTATGACTAAGCATCTGGCAATTGGACTTTTTAAAAATTTAATATGAAACTGAAAAGAATAATTTTTTTTAAATAAAATAATTACCTCCATTTAACTGGATGTTATTTTGCAGAGATAATTTTTCACCAAGGCTTGTTGCTAACTGCTTCATTTCTGGACCATTTTTGAACTTCTTCATTTCTGAATTTGCACTTTTATTGTGATCAACTCTGTCAAGGTAGTTTTGGCAATATTCAAAGAACCTCATGATATGATCATTGATGTTGATTTTTGGAGTTTCACCCACCCCTGCGATTTTATTTATAAATGACTGGGCACTTTCAAGAGATCTAGATATTCTGGAAGAAACAATTTTCACTCTTGAAAAATCTGAAATAAGTTCGGGGAATGCTGTGGAGTATTTTACTGCAAGGTCTTCGTGTTCCCTTCGACCAACGTCCACCAATTGTTTTTCGTGAGAAAGCGGAAAGGAAGATTTCCAGTTGTTTAAATGGACAAAGTCTGCATTTATCACATTGCCAACAACTTTTGTTGTACAAGCCTGCATTTTCTGTATGTCCTTTACACTCGGATGTCTTGTCCCATGTCTGAGGACGACATTCAACTGTATTGGCTGGCACTTCATTGGACGGGGAGGGAAGACGAAACCATCTTTAATGTTTGCGGTTCGTCTGTACTTTAATAAGTTCTCGTATGCTGTTTTGGATGAAAAACAAACATACTTCATTGCATCAGATTCGTTTGTTTTGCAATTTGAAAGTTCTGAAGCGAGTATGAAAATCAAAATTAACAACACCAACGTAAACAACTTGCACTCCACGGGGGCTGACATTGTAGTAGTCTCGCAGTAAATCTCTGTACGGCTGTATCATAATAATTAAATTTATTTTAATTTTGGTAAAAATTGCTTTTTAAAGAAAAATAGACTATTAGAATAAACTTAATTTGGAGTTTTGTTACTTCACTCATAATTAAATGCAATTGAATTCACAGACCTGTCACGGACTCAATGTTAGCATAATCTATCAGTCTGCCGTCCCCACAGGAAACAGCATCATGTCGGAAGAATTAGGAGCCAAAGAAGACCAAGAACACGAATTTAAGAAAAAGAAAACGGTAGGAAAGATAAAACACACTATCAGTTTTTACTTTAGCAATGGCCCTTTTGCACTTTACCCAGGTAGTTTTACTATTGATACATGAAGGGATCTTACATCTGCAGCTTACACTACTATTACTAAAGAGATAGCCACGTATTTGGCCACGATTACTTTAAATAAGAGCCTATCAGTATCTTACTAGAGTCGCCATTTTCTTGGTAAGATTAACCAGATTTTACCTTTATAACTTTGTAAAATATTTATTTGGTTTTGGCGTGAAAAGAAGTTCAGTGACACAAAGGTCACCATGGTCGTTGTTGTTGTTGTTGTTGCTCATTGAAAGCAGCTGTTGTACCAATGCCTATTATGTAGTATGTGTATATTTTGGATTGGCCAGCAGAGTCACAGTCATGTAAATGACTACATGCATTGGTCTGCATAACAAATGGGAGCACATTAATTAATTTGATAAGTATTTTGAGAGCAGACTGAAACCAAGTGACTTTAAAATATAGATTGCTAGGTACATGTAGATCTACCATCTAGTGTGAAATGCAGTTATGTCATTCCACCATATTTTGATGCTTCCTGTTATTTTATCTAAAATATGTATTTTCATTCTTCTGCTATGATTTACTTGTTGATTTGTTGATGTACAGAACTGGATTAGAGCTGAATTCAGCTGCTGTAACTGTGAACTTTAAAGACACCCAATATCAGACTGTCATTTTTACAATCAAACAGCAACTCAAGTGGGTTTAATATGAACTGTATATGCCTGAATAAGTATTATGGAAATTTACATGTAATTTCAATATTTTGATGCCAGCTGTTATATTTGAAGAGAACCATTTAATATAGATCAGTCAAGGACAAACATGTAGACAAGCAGACTTGACAAGGAAGTTTTAGTCTCCTTAGAAGACAAAAATGTACAGAAAACATTGTATAAAAGAAGAGAGAAAATTCACTGCTGACTGCATACCAGATGTTTCTCAGCAAAAATGTTTTCCCAATTAATTTACTGGAAGCTATTGAAAACAATTGGTACCAAATCCCGTACATTGGGATGTCGAGTAATGTGCAGTCTTTCTGTCGATACAGTAGACAGTGAGTTACAAAATGGCAGAGATCCTCAGCATTACTTCTCACTGGACAAATACCAAAGACCAGGGCAGTTTCACAACTTGAAATATATGCTCCGTCAATGGACAAGGGAACACTGGGATGCTTTGGCTGATGACATTGTCACCAAGACAACAGACAACAAGGTCAAGGCTGGTCTTATCCAGGTCAGTACCTTGTTCCAAGGGATGAGCTGTACCACGTCAGATTTTGCTTAGAACTAACACATATTTGTTGTACTTACTTTTGATTTATAGCTGCCTGAGTAGTGCAAATGTTTTTAATGGATTGCAATCAAATATTTTGAGGTGTTACCCTGAAGCTTTCTATGAACTGAATCTTTTCATGATTAGAATAGAAGATGGGATACTATCACATTATGAGGATGCATATAGCCTGGTTTACTTGCTACCCTCTCTCTCATGATTTATGTGTGTTGCATGATGGGAGCATGCAGGACGTCTTTTGCTTTTTTTCGTGACCAGTCCGAAAGATACTGGCAAATTTCTCTATTTATCTTCCTGTCATAGCCTTTTTTACACCCTTGGGTTCAAAGAAGCATGGGACTACACATATATGCTTAAATGAATCAGCAAAAATGAATGCCTTTATCTTAAAGTTTATCTTTATGCAAATGTTAACATAAACTTTTTATTGTTTAACTTTTAATCTTTTGAGTGTAATGATAAAAAATTGCCAGAAAGAAATATTCGAAAATTCAAAGATGATGCAAAAAATTCCTACATTGGTATCAGTATTCAGCAAAAAGTGAATTAAATCATATGTCAGTAGCTTATACACCACCATGAGAACATGAGCTGGACCAAAAAACCACTACGAATTTAACATAGCTACCATGTCCCTTTTTTCTGCTTGACTTGAAATCACAAAATTGCATGCTACTAAGACATATAATGCAAATTTGGCTTTCAAGTATAAATATGTTTTTAACTGGACCAAACCCGGTCTGTAATTCAGCTAAATAGGTAAATACTTTTTTCAAAGTTATATTAAGCTAAAAAATTATTTTTTAAATGATAAATGGTAAAAAAATTCAAACTTAAGCATGATCTATCCATCTTGTTAACATGACATTTCAGTTTGAATAGTTTTTGAACTTGCCTAAAATGATACCACAGTTAAATAGATGTCATGTAGCTCTAAGCTTGGCACTTGGTTCTAAAACAATGTGGCGTAATTTCATGGTCAAACATGATATGTTTTCTTGTGGAAGTTGTTAGGTTCAGATAAGCTTAGCAATTTTCCAGAAATACGATTTATATATGAATAGGATTTACATACATTGAAAAGTAGGCATGAAACTGGCTGAAGAAAATTTGTGATATTTGTTCATTTTTCATCAATTTGATTTTCATTTAGTGAAAAATTAGAAAGTGCTTTAATGACCCCATTGTTTTTGCTATGTTTTGGGTCTGATGAGTTTTTGTTGATTTTGCTACTTTCTTTCCTTTGAATTAATGAATATATATACATATAACATTTATTAATAGCTCACTTATGGTGTTGCTTTTTTAATGCAAATAACATAATATTGACAATTTCACTTGCTGGCAAGTTTGGCTTTCTTAATCAACACTTTTTGTAAACTCTTTCATGAAATAAAATTTCCATTCCAACATTGTGAAAACTGCCTTAATTAAGTACTAATTCAAGGTATGTAAACTTAACTAGTATGTAGGGTCTGTGCTAACTTTCTCATCCCTGTGAATGAACATCCACAGCAAATGAATTAGGTTATTTGATGGTATTGTCATACGATGTCAGAATGATGTTTTGATTCTCGTCAAAAAAAGCTGATTTTTTTGTCAAAAGTTCTGAAGTTTTATTTGTTTTCTACATTGATTATCCAGTTAATGTCTGACATCACTTGTAAGTATTGACATTACTACCCCTGCTCAAAAGTTATATATTTTTGGAAAAGTAAAATTTCAAGGACTGCTGAGAGTGTTTCTACTAAGCTTCAGTCAAGTGAAGAAAATGTTCTTAAAATTTTGAATAGTATGTTTGGAGTTTTCAACTGAATAAATATTGCCAGGAAATTTTTGCAGAAAATGCCCCAAAAAGTCCCCTGTTTTGTTACAAGTTAATTTTATTAATCATGTGCATTTGTTACTATTTGTTACTACATTTTGAAATGCTTTGCATATTTTCTGTTTAATTATTAGTAATATATATTTTGTTTGAGGATATGTATGGTGTAAAATGTTGTGGATGATATTACCTATAACATGACTGCTTTGGTCAAATCATCTTTGTCATCGTATGCCTTTCTAAATTCTTACTTTAAAGTGGGATTAACCTAAAGAAATTGGCATATTTGGGTTAGGCAGACAGGGTTGGAGTTCCACTTTTTGATCTGTGACACCTCGCCCTTAAATGATGTGGCATTTTCTTGTCATGAAAATTAAGTGTACTTGTGAAAAAAACAGTTCCATGATTTGAGAAGGCAATAAATGGGACAGGAAGATGTCTACCTTGCAATTGTTATTTAGCAAAATTGACCCATTTTTAACCCACATTTTGTGACGTGTCAACTTGATTAAAAATTGATCTGTCATTCTTTACTGTCATTACATCAGCAGTGATGCAGGCATTACCTGTAACTGGTAAATAAAGGATACACCTACTTAATTCCATATGGTCAATGCTATGAGATTCATTTGTGCAGCAAACTTTAATATTTGTAAACAATCGGTTAAAATTGTGTTTTTCAATTAAACTTAACTTCTTTTGAAAAGATTATACTAATATCAATGTAACAGCTAACATGTTATTTTGTTTCCTTTTCACTGAGTTATTTTACAAGAAAATTTTTGTAAAAAATCCAAATAAGTGAAGTTGTGCCTTCACTATGTTTGGGCAAATAGGTGTAGTGCTTCTTTCCCTACAGTTCTCATAGTGTTCTAGTTGGCACTGAACTGCATATATGTACTGTACACATATATATATGCATATATGTACACATGATACATTATAGTCTGTGTACACAGGGTCTGTCTTAATTTACCTTTACTGTTAGTTTTACTGGGACATAGGTTGGTCTAATAATCAAATTTGGCAGGTGTAAATGACACAGCAAAACAGTCTCAAAGTAGGCCAAAACTGACGCCTTAACTTTCATATTCCGTCATGTATGTAAGCAGAGAGGTATAGAATGATAAAATGTTAATGAAGTAATGAGTGCCACCTGCTTATTTATTCAGTGATGTGACATCAGAAAGGGGTGTGTTATTCCTGACAGCACACATGAAACTTGTGTGTGTCCTCCCACTTGAACAAAGTCCTCTCTGATTGGTCGGCTGTGCTCCGCTATTGACACATTGAAAGTAGTAGAATCAGCTGGTTGTGTGCATCCCAGTAGTCAGCCTTAACTGTGTATGTGTATATATACAGCAGGTAGACTGGTTGCTGGCACATTTAGAGCTATTACTTACTACCATTAAGGAGAGACTAGATACAAGTTGACACATCACAGCAATGGCCAACGTGGCAGATTATCCAGACCCCTATGGTATACGCCAGGTATGATATTCATATATTATATGACAGTGACATGGTTGTGTGCGTGTATTTGGGCATGCAGCAAGCATGCAAGTGTGCCTGAGAGTAAAATGTGATCCAAGCTGTGGCAACCACATGTAAATATTATTTCATCTTTCATCTTAATTTAAAAAGGTGCTTCTTGATCTCCGATACCTTCCTGATGGATCATGGATTGGGTTAAGTTCAACAAGGTATCATCATATTGCAGTATGAGTGCTTACACTTGATTTGCATGTTAATACAGATAAATTGTTCACTTTGTAGTCTGAGCTCACAGTTAAAAAGGGCCAAAGAAGAGGATCTCTGTCATAACTCTCAGCCAATTTGCCTAAATTAACATGCTCACAGTGTCCGAATAGCCCCTCTGTACTGTTACAATAATGTTATGCTGCATATTACACAAGCTCTGTTGTTATCTGATGAGTGGGACACAGGGTATCTCTTTATGGAAACAATAGGGATATTTAACCTGTGGGGTATTTTCCATTAAGTCAGGAAGAATTGTCTACATAAGATTTGACATACTCATGATACTGCACTGCAAGATGTTCAGGGAAGTGAAATGGCTGCCCCACTGAAATTCAGAGTACTGGGAGATACTTGAAATACTGTAAAATAAATGCTTCCAGATTGTTTAACTTCTGCTCGGTCTTGTATTATACTGGTAGTTTTTATTGCAGACCTTGGGTTAATGAAATTGCTCTTTTTTTGTCATATATATATTAGCCTGCAGATTAAATGTAATTGTAAAAACATAATAAATCATAAAACAGTAATAATGATGCTTTTATATCATACTTAGGCAAATCTGCAGGTAAATCAGAGCATTTGAACAAAAGAGATGTACATAATGTTAACTCCATTTTGAATTAAATCTTTGTGAATTGGAAAGAAGAGAAAATATTTTGGCATAGATATAAATGAAATGCAAGCAAATCAGATTTTTTTTTTAAATGAATTACTTTATCTGACTTGGAATTATTTGTTCTCATCAGAACTTGGGTTGCACAAACAGACCAGGAACTTTTATTTAAGTTTTCCCATGTCTCAAATGATATTTTCTTGGAGTAACTCGTTTTTCTGAATGAAATACAGTCATCACTATTTTACTCAGTTGAAACAAAAGAAAAGTCTAGCTTATTAGACAGCAGACCAGCTGGGTCTACTTAAGTTGTGCAGTAAGCCTGTAAATATTGGAATATAGTCAGTTTTAGTTAACTAGGGATTATTCCATTTCACTGATTTTGTTGGTTCTAGCATTGCTTGATATTGTGTTCAGCAAAGTTTCTTGAGACGTTTCTGTTGTCTGCCAGTACAGTTTTGTCATTGCTCTTTATTCCTTGTAATTAAAGTTTTCAAGCTGCATAATTGACTTGCATAAACTGAGGTAGGAGATACAGTCTCTCTACCTCCCCCGTCTATCTTTCTCAATAAATCTCTAATGTGTCTGAATACTCTACTCATCTATTACTAATTATCCTTGTGGTGCTGTGCCACTTCAGGGCCTTATTTGAGGACATGCATATTGTCGAAATTTAATTCACTTTAATGTGACAAAATTGCTGTTTAAAAAGTGCTTAAAAGGTGATACACATGCCTTCCATTATTAAAAGCATGCCATGGTTTCTTTGTATGCTGTTATGTGATAAAACAGGTAGATGGATTTACTGATGTGGATGTGAACATGTAACTTGTACCCTGTGTTTAAATATTACCAATGCTCCTCATGTCTCTTTTGACCAGCATGCCTTGACTTTTTTATTCATTTTTGTCTACTGAGAGCATAAAGCATTTGTGGTGATCTTTTTTTCTATCAGCAGGAGTGATTGCAAACCTTTCAAATGCCTTGAGTTTCATTGTTCACTATAAACATAAGATTTGTTCCAATCCATGACCTGGAATACTTGAGCTCTGGCACCAAAGACCACTATCATTGACAGTGCCTCTGACTTAGCAGTGTTTCATTATTAATGCTACCCTCTGAATCTCAGGGTGATGATCTTTTGAAGTTTTAGGGCATGAGGTTATAAGTCTTTGAATCACTTTGCCCTACATGATAAGGTGTATCTATGGATAACTTGTAATCTTGACTTTGTTAGAGGAAGATATACTGACTGGCGATGGGTCAAAAAAGAAGATGTAGCACCTGGTTAAACCAGGTTGTTTGGCTTATGTCTCTGTATACTTTGTGTCATGTTTTTTTTTTTTTTTTTTTTTTTTTCAGAATTTGTAGAAAAGACTGGAAAAGAACACTCATAAAATTTAATATAAAGATAAAATTGGATGTTTACAATGAATATTTTTCATTTTGTTACTTACATGACAAATTACCAAGGAAAAATACTGTTTTACACCATTTAAACCAATTTGTCCTATGGTCATAAACATTGATAACACATCTGAGAAGTTTCACTCATTTCCTGCTTTTTTCTCCACTAACAAGATAATTGGTTGTACAGTTTATTATTTTATTTCATATCACATCAGAGTCTCCAGCGTGCAACAAACATTCAGTACCAAAGTCATCATGTGTCACGTGACAAGAGAGGCCAGGTCCTGGGTCAGAGAGGTGGATTCCGTGGGTGCACCATATGGCTAACTGGTAAGACACCTCTTTAAAAACTGTTAAGAAACACAGAAATTGTCATGCTATAATATGCCATATATTTCATAGCCCTATTGCTGTACCATTATTTTTAGTTCTCATATGCTGAAGGTGTTTGATTTATTATGATTTGTATAAAAATTGGGAAGTGGGTGCATTTAAAAAAAAGTAATGAATCTTCTCCTTGTAGCCTGCTGTATAGAAGATATGGGGGAAGCAACTGGTCATTTTTGAAATGAAGAAAAAAAATACTTACCAATATATGTCATAATTTTATATCATCTGGGTAAAAGATGTTTAAATCTATTACCTTGATGCCGTACCAGTATCTTTTTACCTGTTGATGCCTTAAAAGATACAATTCTTAGAATTGTCCTTACTCATATGTATACGGGCACCAGTGCTAAAGTAGGGCTATTTTCACTTAATTCAAGGGCAAGTTACAAATCTTATTCAAGCTTGATTTAACTTATGTGAGAGGAAACTTTAAATTTACAATTATATATTGTTCATTGTAATTAATCTGAGCTGGCCCAGGGGGAGGTGACATATCACTGAAAAGATGTAAATAATGTTCCTATTTGTTTTTACAGCTTTTTAAGGTAAAGGCTGATAGTTTCCTTGTAGTTCATGAAATTAAAGTACGATAAGAAAATGTTAAATGTGATAGTTTTGAACTAAATCATGTTTGCTGTGCTAGCAAATCAAATCAGGAAAGAGTGTTTGAATGATTTAACAGTTAATTGTGAATTATTTAATCTGGTCTGTGAAACAGCTGTGTTAGTAGGCGGGATGAATTGCTTAAACTATATATAAATACTGCACCTTTAAAACCATGAAGGATTTTCTATTCAAGATCTCAGTGTTTTTGATAGTTTGGGGAGATTCATTCATTCTGGTAATATTTCTAGGAGACTTTCAATGTAACAGTAAGAATTTTCTTACTTCAATTTTTTGTAAATTTAACCTCATATTTTAATAATACATCGCTAACAGAAACTTCAGTGTCTAACTTCAGAATTGGGTGTTTGAATGTGGGAAGTTAAAAGCTTAGAGTGTGATATTGAAACTACTATAAAGATGTGCTGTTTCCCATATTTATCACACATATTAAGGCAAAAAATGTATTTTTAAGAGCATCATTTATGACACTTGAAATAGTCAATGCCCCTCCTTCCATTATCTTTAAAATTTGGATGTATATAACCAAAAAATAAATAAATAAATAAATAATTAATTAAATTTACTTCAAAATCAATTATATAAATATGGCAATTAATTATTGATTTAAATGAAAGTCTTTTTCTTGAATGTGCTTTCCAATCATCAAAGATATCACAATTTTGGGAATCTTTTGATTGTAAAGAAACACATTTTTCTGCAAAGTTTTGAGAAATAGTGATGTTTAGAAATATCTTCTTGTGTTTTTTATTCACTATTATGAAAGCTTACAATCAAACATTTTAACAGCTTTGCAAAACTACTGTTGTTAAATATCACATAAAAATGTATATGCAAGCCATGTGATATGGACTTATTCCACAGCAAATAGTTATGCCACTCATATCAGACTGTTGGAAGTAGATTATAAAATGCATATGTGATAAATATATGTAGATATCATTCAAATATATCTGAAAGATGAAATGTTCACTTTGAATTTAATTACATCTGAAACTCAACTTGTTATCATTGATGCATTCTGAAGTCAGTTGGTTTGAGAAAGACAAGAAAAAAAGAGGAGGGAAGATTGAATAGAAATTCATCCAGCAAAGTTATTAAAACCAGGAGCATTTCACTGGCAGGAGAATTGATCTTTTGTAATTTGAAATAGATGGTCTCCAGGAACAAATATCAGCAGGGATCAATGGTGAGGAAGGATGCAGCATGGATTTGGCATTTTGAATAACTGCAGCAGACGTAAAAGGAAGCTTTGCAGGGTGCTCCTGAACCTGCTTTCATTTACAGCCCAAGAGGCAGAAGTAATTACAATCAATGACTTATGCATAGTTATATTACGAAAGACCTTTCGTGCTCTCAAATCAAAAAGAGAATAAGAATGAATTAGAAAAAAAATGTCACAATGTCGCTGCCATTTATTGTGTCATTGGTGAAGATGATGAAATTATTGGGGGCATTATTGCCACATTGGAACTGTTCATTGTGCATTTGCCATGCGGTTATTGATTTCAAATCAGTGTCCATTGTGCACGAGCTTGAAGAGAAAGCTGTTCAGGGAAGATAAGTTTGCTGAAAGTAGCTTACATTGAAAAGAATTATCTGATCCAGCGTCAGTTTGCTTGCCTGCTTCCAAGCTGAATGTTGTTGTGCATCCACCAGGACCAATAACTGGAGGTGTTGTGTGGGCAACAAATCGAATGATATGACCCATCCTGTAATTTCCTTTTTTGGGGCTTTTCCATTAAATAGAGATCCTCAGTTTCTTATCGGTCACACAGTCTGAGTCGTGAAAATTATGTTGATAAAAGTGTAACTGTAATTGTCACATTGGTGAGTTATTTTGAAATAAGATTTTCCTGAGGCACACTAAACAAGTTTTGCCAGGTAGTCAAGAAAGGGGACAGAAGAGCATACCATTACACTCTTAATGTTAGTCTATGTACTTAGTATATTTCTTTTATGAATAAAAAGCACCATTCTTCTCCCATTTTCTCCGTTTTCCACCAGTGCTGTGCAATGTTTTTAAAGACACAATTTTGTACCCTCATGTTTTTACTTAAGGTTTTTTTTAGTCATTTGAACATCACTCCATTGATGAAGAGAAAAAAGTGATTGCATTTTTCATAATTTTTTCTTCCTTATTGTGTTTTACAGGTTTGTCAGGTGCTGGTAAAAGTACCATATCCTTTGCCCTGGAAGAGTACCTTGTTGCCCATGGCATTCCTGCTTACAGTCTGGATGGAGACAACATCCGCCATGGGCTGAACAAGAACCTGAGTTTCACTCCCAGTGACAGAGAGGAGAACATCCGTCGTATTTCTGAGGTGTCCAAGTTGTTTGCTGATGCTGGAATTGTCTGTATCACTGCCTTTATCAGTCCCTTTGGAAAGGTACGGAGAAGAGGTGGAGACAAGATAATGTAAAAACAGACTGATTCAAAAGTTTATGACTCTTGAAAAATCATCAGCCTACATAAATTGGGCATTTTGTATCAACATGTATCATGCCAAGAATTGTTTTGTTTCTTTTTTTGGCTTTTGGCAATGTTTGATATTTTAACATGATTGTTAAGCTAGAAGAGGCATTGGTTAATTTGATTTTCATAAACATTGAATTTTTTACATGCAACAACTGTGAATTGTAGATTAATATCATTCCAAATAAGTTTTGACTTGAAAATAGAAGACCAAAAAAGAAAATGTTGCCATTGTCTATGTGAGCACAATTTTAGGAAGTAATGTTAATAGGCAATGCTCAGAATGGTGGTTAACAGTTTGGTGTAATTAAAAGTTTTTGATAATGTGACTTTTGTATGAATGGAATTCTTTGCTGTTGAACCAAATTTAGTTTAAGGTTTAAAAAAAAAAAACAGTGGTATGAGTATTTTATTCCTGTTGGTTATCTATGACTGATCTTAAAAATGTGAATTGTATTTGTTTTTCTCATCCAGGATCGTGACCATGCTCGTAAACTCCATGAAGAAAGTGGTTTGAAATTTTTTGAATGCTATGTGAACTGTCCTCTAGAAGTGTGTGAGAAGAGAGATGTCAAGGGGCTGTACAAGAAGGCCAGGAAGGGCGAGATTAAAGGTAGATTTCCTTTTTTATTAAAATGTCCACAAACCATATTTATGGAAATGTCACTCCAGACTCCCAAGGTTTTTCCACGTTAAATGTTTGTCAGCTGAAGAGATTTATGTCATTTAGAGAGAAAAAAAAAGAATAACATAAAGAAAAAGTTGAACCTTTTGTTGAGGCATAATGGGGTAATTTAGATATTTTTGTGGACTTTTCTTTAGCGTTATAACTAATTTTATCTGTATTCCCACCTTATATTGAGCCAAGTGTTACTGATAAGGGCTGCAATTTGATATTAAGCAGAACATGGATTTGGAATAAGGTTAATATCCCAGAGCATTTTAAAATGTAGAATGATATAAAAATATGTATTCTTTGACAGCGTAGGATGTAACCCAGCCTTTCTTTATCCAAGTTGCTCTGAATAAATACAAATGGTGCCCTCTTGTCTTTATTCAGGATTCACTGGTATTGATGCAGCCTATGAGTCTCCAGACAATCCAGAGCTGAACATTAAAAGCGGAGAAATGACTGTGGATGAGTCCGTGAAAATGATTGTTCAGTTGCTAGAAGAACATGTAAGTCCACCTGTTTTTGCAGTGTTTCACCTGGTCCCCGTGACAAACTCACCTGGTCCCTGTGTCAAGATCACTTATTCTGTGCACACAAATCCTGTGTGCTGTGTTGTACCTTGCAGGTGTATTGTTGTTACATGGTTGTAGGTTTGAACCAGTCACTAACACACATAATACAGACTGAAAATACAGAATCTCATTAATTGTTCTACATGCCTGTATAAAAATAGTTGTGTACATATAGTTGTATTGATGAGAAGGACTACATTGTTTTACTTTTAATATACCTGTTCAAAGTTTAATTTTATTACGATGGTCTTTTAGATTTTTATTTGGAATAAAGGACTACTACATATAAAAATAGAATAGGACTCAAAGGTACAGAAAAATATAATTTTATACTATTCAGCAAACATTTGTATGGTTACCTTTATAGGTAATAGAGATGTTTTCTACAGAATCCTTTTGATAAATTTTGTTTGGCAGAATAAAAAAAATACCCAGTGCTATAACATTCATGATGAAAAATAGAAAGACATTGAGAAAAGAATGATGAAGTAAAATATGATCCCAAGCTACACAGCGTTGCACTGATGTTTTCCATCTGTAATAAAAGGGTGATTACCAGGTCATTTCCAATAGATTTAATCATGCAACCTTTTCCTTCATGGGGGTTGACTGAACATTTTGTGGGCCTAGATTGATCAAGCTGTGGTCTGTTCATATGTTCTTTGATTAAACCATCATCAGTCTTGTGAAGAAGGCAGTGCTGCCTACTAAAAAAACAGACTGAGAGCAGAAATTATTTTCTTGACTTTCATTTGGAAAGGAATTTGCTTAATCGATTTCTCTCTAATTACTTTAAAGACATTCCATGTTATGTGACTTTTGTGATTTATGAATCTGAGACTGCTTGGTCTTTTTCTGGCAGTCATCAATCTTAGAAGTAGCATGATGGCATGATTTCAGTTTTACGTTGGACTGTAATAGCTTGGTTGTGATGCTGATTATACACATATAAATTTTTACTCATTTTTCTCTCTGGTAAATAACTATGTCATTACTAGATAATTTGGAAAAAAACATTTTGTAGCCTAGAAGCAGTTTTGTTCAGTAAATATCAGATGGCAAAAGTAGTCTTTTTGAACTTTACAAGATCGACTTTGAATAAAGAAATTAAACAATCTTCTCCCTCACCTGCGTTACAGAACATCATCAAGGTAGGTTATTGCTGTGTGGTCACATTTGGTGCAGGTGTCATCAGGGCTCATATTATGCAGGGGTAATGGGACAGTGTAGTTTCCTGTGTATATATATATATATATATATGTATGTGTCTAAAAAGGGATTTCATAATCTGTGTTACCAATATAGCAACTCACTGGTCTTAGCGTATCTTATCGCTGGTGCAGCAGTCGTCTGTCTTTACATGGTTTATTTAACCAAAAATGCTGCTTTTATGGAATTTTAACAAATAAACAAAACAGATGATGGAAATTGTTATTGTTAAATGTGTGCTATAAATATTTTCAACTAAAAAGATATTGATGATTTGTGGCATGCTGCATAAAGCAATGGTTTTCCTTCTTTACTTTAATTTTTAAGCATTTATAGAGCCCTAACATACAACAGAGTAAGATAGAAGAGAAAAAGGTCACTTCTGTGATTAATAAGACTGTTGTGAAATCTATGGATTGAGTGTTAAAAACATCAAAAGTCAATGTGTGAATTAACTGCCATTTAACATGCATGGCATTTAATTGGAAGCCATTGAGGAATTAATGTGATCTCTTTTAGGTTGAGGTTGTGGTCAATGTTCAGGGGCAGTGTATGATACTGAGAAAATAATTCCTAAAATTTTTTTTTTCTTTGAAATAAAGTTCAGATATATTTTGTTTACAAACCAAATGATGCACACCTTTACCTGTATTTGTTATATAAAGATATCATTCTTGCTGCAGAACATATTTTCCTTTAACCAAATTTATTTATCATTTCTTTGCTAAAATGGGAAATTCAATTTTTTTCTTCTTTTTGTTTAAGTCTATACCAGAAATACCATTGCTCTTTTTATTTACGATTTTTTTTTAGTTGTGTATCCATTTAACAAGGTTCCTTTCATATTGCAGAGTATCATCCCTCCCCAAGCTGGCGTTCTTAAAGATAAAGTCAAGGAGCTTTTTGTCCCAGAAAACCGCATTGATCATGCCAGAGAGGAAGCAGAGTCTTTACCCAGTGTTGAGATTACTAAGGTACAACCTTGTAGTGTGTTCAGACCTGGTGTGGGTGTTCTTGCATGTATGTGTTTGAGATATTAGCATTTGGTATGTCCTTAAAGTTAATGGCATTATTAAAAGTGCCACGTTCATTATTCTGAGCGTGGCATTTGCTATGTTCATGATCCATGCACGTGCCAGAATCACATGAATAATGAAAGAGATATATGTGAATTCCACGTCAGCTGGAATGCTTACTAAACAAACAATGTCACTAATATCAGAATGCTTGCCATTTATGGTATCCACCATTATATTTTGACCATCAAGGTTTTTAACTTGGTGTGTATCCCAACTTAGTATAAGGTATAATGTACTAAAGCTGAATGGATGCTTTAAAAATACTTATTTGGAGTATGAATCAGAGAAAATAATAAATCACGGTAACCAGAGAGAGATGTAAATATTGATATTAATCAGCCCTTGTTGTTTGTCAGCATCTCTAATAAAATAATGAATAATGAAGATTGATATTTTCCTGTGTTGATACAAAATTCTTGTTTGGCAGTCCCAGAGATTTGTGTTTAAAAGTTTTTTTGATTTAGCATTGTTTTACAATTCCTTTTCATTAGTATAATTGATGACTCTGACCTAGTAATATTGTCCAACTAGTAGATTTACCTGCATCTCTTTGATGTAAGAGGAAATTAAACTATTGACGTTCTTTCATACAAAAGACCATGTTTTGTGCCATTAGATGGTTATTCAATGTTGTGCCATAAATTTATTGTAGAGTCTTAATGGAACTCCAACAATACTCCCAACAGCAAAACTTCTATTAATAGTGTATTCTGAGAACAAATATACCTTTGGAACAGAATGGATTACTAGTATTCATACGCTTTTTATTAAAAGATTAAGATATTGAGCTCATGACCCTTGGAATACTATCAGTAGTTACACACAGAATTCGAACTCCTCGTTCATTCTGAATATCCTTTCAACTTCATTGTGTGTGTAAATTTTGTTTTGGAATGTATAACCAAGTAACTTTGTATTAAATTAGCAAGACAATTTGTTCAAATTCAGTATTTGTCAAGTAAAACAAATGTAGTACAGCAATGTAAACTATCATAATGAATAATTATTCTTAAGGACATATATTCTAATCATAGCACTACAGGATTTTTCAGAGATGATCTTTTGGTATACCATTAAATTTTCTCATTTTCTTTATGTGTTTTTTTAAGTATTTCATATTTCATTTTGTATTCATAGCTGGACTTGCAGTGGGTCCAAGTGCTGGCAGAAGGTTGGGCCATGCCACTGACAGGGTTCATGAGAGAGAGGGAGTACCTGCAGTGTATGCACTTTAAGTGCTTACTGGATGGTATGTAGAATTGCTGAGTGTGGTTTCACTCCCTTATTTCAACGTTTACCTTATTTATGGTGCAACTGATTCTACTTTTTGATTTGTTTATTTATTTGTTTTTATTTATTTACTTATTTATTGTTTAAATAGTAATTCAGCATTTTGTAATTGATTGGTTCTGTATAATGTATCTTGATTGTTCATCCTAAGAATATTTCAGTTTATTTTGCATGAAAAGGAAAATGACATTTGTTTACAAACATATTTGCATTGAGACTTCAGTTTATCAAGCATTTTATATTTATATTTATATCTTAGACCCCATTCACACAGATTTTAGATCGATCTATCCCTGTGGGGAGTCTCACTAGATTACTGTCAGCTTAGCCAGCTTAAGTGTCTGTCCCGCCTACTAAAAGCTGTAAAGGGGTAATTAACTACCGTGCGCACTAGGCTGACATCAATTTAGCGTGGACCCCCAGGGAGTTAGGTCGATCTAGATGGATCGATCTAAATCTATGGGAATGCACTCTTAATCTAGCTTATTATTTCTGTAACCAGTGGCATTTTGTATTTCTGTGTTTACACCATATTAGAAACAATATTCTGTCGTTGTATTCAGGAGGGACCATAAACCAGTCAATTCCAATAGTTTTACCCATCACGACAGAGGACAAGGAGCGCTTGAATGATTGTGCTGCCTTTACGTTACGCTATGAAGGAAAAACTGTGGCCATATTGAGAACACCTGAGTTCTATGAACACAGGAAAGAGGAAAGGTGTTGCCGTCAATTTGGAACCAACAACACAGGGCATCCATACGTTAAGGTATAGGCAGACGAAGGTTTAAGGTTGTTTGAAAATTATTCTGGACATAGCTCTAACTTGTGTTATTTCTTATATTCACCAGAATCTGGAATAATCTAAAGGCTGTAGATATATGTGAACATTTACCAGAAGATGTGTTTTATCATATAAGAGGACTAAAAAAATATGTAGCCATGATTATATGCAATTTCTAATTTCAGATGATCCATGAGTCTGGTGATTGGCTGGTTGGTGGTGACCTTGAAGTCGTGGAGAGAATCTTTTGGAAGGATGGCCTGGACCATTATCGTCTTACACCAAATGAACTCCGAGACAAATTCAAGGCTTTGGGGGTGAGGCACCTGAGAATATTTGTATCTTGTCTTGCCTGTATAATTTTTGAAAACATTCAGTTAATGATTTTAGATACTGAAGTATTAACTATTGATGGTTTGGGGATGGTATATTTGGAAGGTTTTTTGATGTCCTTGCATTTGTTTCTAGGCAGATGCAGTGTTTGTGTTCCAACTTCGTAATCCAGTGCACAATGGCCATGCCTTGCTGATGTCTGACACTAAACGTAGACTCCTGGAGAGAGGATTCAAGAACCCAGTGCTGTTGCTCCACCCACTGGGTAAGTTTACATAAGATACCACTTCTTTTGTTATGCTCCCATGATTAAAGGAATACAGCCAGCTTTATTGTCAGTGAAAAGTTACTTGTGTGGCTTGTAATTATTATATAACTAGGATATTTTAAACACAATTTCACTTTGTTAAAGTGAAAAAGTGATTCCAGATTTTGCATAGAAGCTCATCATGGGAAGAGATTGAATGGATTATAGTCACTGTGACTGAAATTTTAAAAATTATCCAGAAAAAGAGGGTGTTTTAAATGAATGCATGAATGATTAAAGTTAAGTTGACATTGAAGCACAGCATGCTACTGAAAGTACAATCAAAACCAATTTTGTCAAGTATTTTGCCTTATTCCTCCCCATGTAGACTTACTGTCAAACTGAATGCTTTAATTTCCAGGTGGCTGGACCAAAGATGATGATGTCCCACTACCAATTAGGATGAACCAACACAAAGCTATTCTGAATGAGAGAGTATTGGACCCAGATAGCACTGTGGTGGCCATCTTCCCTTCACCTATGATGTATGCAGGACCCACAGAGGTAAAGGGTCATTTTCCTATAAAGAGAGTCACCTAAACAGATCTTCTGTGCTCGATACCACCAATATTAACAGAGCTGCAAAAAGCAAACTTGTTGAAAACTTTGAAAATTCAACCCACAATTCTACTGACACTTCTGACCATTTTTTATTATGCCTATATTTGTATTATATGTGACTAGCCCCTGACTGTGTTTTTTTTCCTAGGTCCAGTGGCATGCCAAGGCACGCATGTGTACAGGGGCCCACTTCTACATAGTTGGACGTGATCCAGCTGGAATGCCACACCCAGAGGGCGGAGATCTTTATGAGCCAACACATGGGTCAAAGGTAGGAAGTGGCAGTTTTCTGTTGCTTTGAATGTACTAGTATTTATATCAGATCCTGAAGAGTTTTCTATCTGGGAGTTTCATTGGATATACTTGTTTTAACGATGGAAGAAATTTTTTACCATGTTTTTTTCAATTCTCACAAATCAGAAACTATTTAAAATATTTAAGAATGTGTAATGGTTGTCAGTGTTTCATCATTGATTACTTTAGCATACATCACTATGTCTTTTAAGTCACTTTCAGCTCTCTGTAAAACATATCTTTTCTTGTGTACCTCTGCTTTTAATCATATCTTCTTTCTTCATTTAGGTTCTGACTATGGCTCCTGGTTTGACCCAGTTTGAAATAATCCCATTCCGTGTAGCAGCCTACAACAAAAAGCTTCAAAAGATGGACTTTTATGACCCGGAAAAGAAAGAGGACTTTGAGTTCATTTCAGGGACCAAGATGCGCAAGCTGGCACGTGAAGGAGAAAATCCACCAAAAGGTTTCATGGCACCATCAGCATGGAAGGTGATGAGTGACTTCTACCAGTCACAGGCCAAGAAGTCTTGATTCCACACCTGAACACATAGGAAAAGAGGATTTCTTACTTTAGCTTGTTTAAATACTTCAGGCAGCCCCTTAGTGACTAATAATTCAATTGATTTACTTAAGTTTGCTAAAATAGCCTGTGCTATCGAGTCCCATTCTCAAAAGTAAAATAGTAGAACTGGCAAAAATTATTTTTATGTCTGTAAAAAAGATTTAAGAAAATACCTACACCAATGACCTACCTATTTGAACCAATGACCTCAGAAAAAAAGACATTGCTCCTAACTAACATGCTGCCAAATCATTCTGTGCCAGTAGGGGATTTACAAAACAATGTTTAAATAAATCTAACTGCCACTTATTATTACTATTATTATCTTCTCTATTATAGATAAGGTGATATATTTAGACTTTCTTTTTATTATCCGCTCTGATATCTGATCAAGACACTATTTGTGAAGTAGTGATTGAAGTCATTTTTGTGATGTATACAAATTTTATTCTCTGAAATATTTATTTAATCATGGGTTAATCATGGAGCACAAGATGAAGTAAAATGATAACAGAAAATACCTCTATATTCAAAATTTGCCCTTGAAGACTAGTCTGGAGTGTTAGAACACACTGGCGAGATTTACCATTATTTCAGAAATAATATACTCCTGGATCTTTAATGGCTTTTGCTTTGTTAAATGATGTAAACCATGCTGTTCTTATCATTACATTAACCAAGTAGAGCATCTTAAATGCCACAATGTTTTCAAATATAGATAAATGTTTTTCAGTGGAACCAATAGCACTAGTCTTGTAAATATTTGTTATATACAGGAAATTGGGAAGTTGTGTTTTGTTTGGGGTGTTGGCCTCATACTCAATAACCTAATGTGGTGCATAAAATTGTTAGGATTATTAAGTCTTCATCCAAGCCTTTGGTAAATGTCATTTTGAAACAAATTGCATGACTTTTACAGAATTTTACTAGAATATTGCCCTGTGTTTTAACATTTTGAATAGTATTTGAAATACTTGGCTGGACCAAGAAGGCATACATCTGGAAAATGTGTTACATGAAGAAGACTTATCATATGCATTTATTTGCAAAAGTGTCAGTATTTTAACTTCCCCAGTTGAGCTTAAAGTTTTTCAATGCTGCAATATCATGATTTGTATTTATTTATTTTTTGTGGGGGTAGATGCTATATATCCCCTCAATCCAGAGAGTCAGTTTTAAATAAGCTCACAATTATGGGTTCAACTTTATTGCACAGTGATATTTTAATAATAACTTTACCATATTTTTTTTTATTTCTACTCATTTTCAGAAATATGAACGTATTTACAAAAATTGGCACATCATGCCATGTTCTTCCATTTTCTATATTCTTTTAGAGGCCACAGTAGCATGCTTTTGCAAGAACACCAATACACACAGCACATGCTTCTATTTGCATGAACAAAGTTGCCTTGCTGTTAAGGCTGTAATAGTTGATAGATATTGATACATTACCATCTTGTTATTTTAGCGAAATAACATGGCTAGTCTCCTGTACGTTTTAGCTATAGTCAGACTTTTGAATTTACTTGATAACATTAGTGCACAGGGGTTCATGAAGAGTGAAGACTTAAGAGGGTTTAGATAGGGCCAAATATTTAGTAAATATAAACATAATATAAGTGTCACAGGGTTGTTTACCATGTAAACATATTTAGATTTGCCTAATTAGAAAAAAAAATGGTATCAGGTACTTATTAGAGCTATAAAAATGATTGTTTGTGATTATTTGTAGAAATGCACGTGGTTTATTTTTAGTACAGGAATAAAAGATTAGATGCAAAAGTTTTCGTTTTTTTAATGTAAACAAATCATACATTCCACCCTTTTTAATGTTGTTATTCTAAATAATTTGGAATACTTGCGGGTATTCTCTTATGGCGAGCTCATTGTATTGAAATTTGTTTACTTTTAAACAGGAAAAATGTGTCTTGGTGACATGGAATGGGAACCCAATAATAATCTGTGTTCATCGAACATAAGATGTATTGGGTGTGGTATTATCATCACAAAGTAGGTGATCTGTTAGTGGCCTGAAGTTCTTATGTTGAGGATGCAAAAAATTACATGTTAATTTAAATGTCTACCTGATAATATTCAGAAAAGTCTTAATATTATCAGTATATAATATTTTCACTATGATTGCCACATGTGAAAGAGTTACTCTTTAGATCTAATAGGTGTTCGCTAACATCGATGTTGTTTTGTCTTCATATTATCCAATCAAAAACAAAGGACTTTCAATTGCAAAATGTTTAATGACAGTATACATCAGCCAATGATTTGACCAAACACCAGTTTATATGGCAAGTTGTTTTATACAGTCCTGTATCAAAATATTATGGCACTTGATCATTCCCTGATGAAGATGCTCTGACACTGAAATATTGGAAATGAACAATTTCAACATTTAGCTGTTGATTGAAGAAGAAAAATTACTTTATTATGGCACGTGAACTTAAATGCACCAAAAATTAAAAATATTTACATAGAGTTATTAAAACATATACAAGTAAAAATGGATTGCATTCAATCTTAAATAAAAAATAGTAAAAGCAAATCCTACACAAAATGTAGTAAATTGAATGAACACAGTTTAAGTCCTACTTAAACAACCATTAGCTATATCTTGTCCAGATCTTCCTCTTTTACCAATTTCCAAAAGCTATATGACTCTGATATAGCAGTAAGTCAAGTATGTGCATTCCCAGTATTTTCACTTTTGGCAAAAAAGGAACCTTTGAACAGAGGTCATCTCACAAAAGAAATTTAGACTGCAAGCTTGTTCAAAATTTGGTTCAAGGTTAATCCATATTTTTGTAGACAAACTCAAGTATGTTTCTGAAATACTTGCCATGTCGTTCTTGTTAAAAACATATATTTAATTTGGTTGGATTACTCCTTATCTTGGGCCAAAATATTCCAAAATTTTACACCAATATTTTGAACAACATTCTTTTGTGAGATATTTGAAGAATATATTAAGAAACACTAGAAACTGTTGACCATGATGAGATTCTTAGTTAGTGAAGTTTGAAAAATGGTTCCTCGCTGTTCCGATTTCAAAACATCAGTCAAAAAATGTGGATTATTTTTGTCATCCTACATTCTTGTGAGAGATATCCTACCATAAGACCTAACAGCACAACCATAAAATATCACAGGGTTTCAGAGCTGCCAATTGTTCCAACGAAATAATTTTTGATTACAAAATCCTGTTGTATCAGCATGCATTACATCATATAATAAGTCAATTTCTACCCTGCATAATTAGCCCATAGCACCAAATAACTACATAAATAATTCTGTATTTCTTGCTAATATTTTACATGAACATCCAGATCCAATTTTTGATCCTTATTATCTTTAAAAGACCATTCATGGAAGCCAACAGTTAATAATTAACTGCCCTAGTTAGCCTTGCAGCGGCCTTTTACTTTGCTTGGTTCCTGTTAACACTATGCACAGCCATTTATAAGAAAGATAATTATAACAAATCAAATTCAGGTTATGTAACAACAGGCTCTGAGTCTTATTATCAAAATGTGACCACAATCAATTCACTGCATGTACACATTACATCAGTTCTGTCAAAGGAAATGGGGTGAGACCAGACTGACCCCAATATACACCCACCTATCCTCAGTAATGTGTATAAATGTAGTCCCACAAATGCAATAGATACAGGCATAGAGATCTCATTATTAAAGGGATACTAACTCTTCGTATGATATCTTTATTTCACAATAAAAACATTGTGAACAACTCACAGAAATATAATATATTCTGTTTTACCACAAAAACAGCAGTTATAGCTATTATTCTGATGTCTGAGCTTGTCTTCAGATCACGTGACTTCAATTGATGGCTGTACTCTGTTATAATCTCTTAAGAGATTTTAACAAAAAACCAAACTTTTTAGGAAAAAAAACAGGGACTAACTTTGAATGTAAAAATGGATTCATTAACCATTGGTAAGTGTGGGAAAATTGTTGTTTACTCCAGAAAAATTCATTTTTTGACCAAAACGAAGAGTAATTATCCCTTTAACTTCCCTCCATTGCCTCTTCCCCTCCGCTGAACCCAAAGACTCCACCAGTGCCCCCACCCCCCCTCGGGTACTCCACAACCTAGCACCTGCCACCACCTCACTCTTTCCCCTCATCTGCCCCTGCCCCTCCCGCGGAGCCCAGGGACTCCACCAGTGCTCCCCTCAGGTACTCCACGGCCTGGATCCTGCCATCCACCTCTCTCTCCTCCACACACTCCCTCAGGGACTTCTCAATGGTGGTCTTGAAATGATATGGAATGCTGTGCAGAAGGCCATCTGAAAAATATGTAAGAAAAGTTCCGAGAACTCTATCAAAATATGCTAGCTGATGTTCACGCTTAGGAATATTCCTTAAGCTTGTTATAATTATTATTATTTTCCAAAGAAATTGTCTGAGCCTAACCAAGGTTTCTAGTTTAAAACATTGTCTATCATCTCATCAAAAGGACCATTTCTACTTGGATAATGTCTTACCTGGGCTTTTTATTTCTATCTTCGGATCTGTAAACCAGCTCCTCTTCTTATGCTCCTCCAAATCAGACAGAATTTTCTGACAGACAAGGGCAAACATGACATCGGAGTATATTGGAATAGTACTGCAAAAATCCCTGGCATTTTTACCATACATCGCAGCAGCAAACTGACCAAAACACTCCTCATTACATGGTTTGTCTCGCCTGACTTCAGTCTCACCTGATATAAAGTACCAAGTCAGCATTTAAACAAATGTTAGTCACAGTTAATCTCCCCCGATAGAAAAGTATATTCATAAGCCAATCAAAACTTATTCTTAATTCTGTCTTTGTCAGAGGGAATGTCAGTGTTTCTTTTTTTTCACCTTTGCATTATAGATAGTTTGCACAAAAGTTTCAAAGAAATGCTACATCCATTTTAACTGGTTCATAATTCCCATTATAACTGGTTCATGGTCCTCAATTTATAATAAATCATACATTTGAATAAACAAATTAGCATCTCTCTACTCCTACCTTGGTCAAACTCCTTTTTATCCAGTAAAGTCAAATCTTCCAAATCTATGAAAGACAATTTTTCACTGCTGGTAATGGCAATGTTGTCATAATTTATGTCCACATAAAACACTGACCAGTTTGGATCTCCATGCTGATGAAAAAAAATTAATCCTTTTAATAACTAAATACCACATTGTACCTTGAAAAATGATACTACAAATCATCTGACTTCCAGAATTTAAACTACTAGTAACTGGTGTTGCACCAGTATAAAAATGCGTTCGATTAATACATAATATTACATAGTATTCTATACATTACTATTCAATTGTCTTACATTTAAAAACAAAATTCATACCAGCATGTACTGGACAACTTCCAACAACTGAAGAGCAAGGCTGGCACGTATTTCCCATGGTTGGTTCAAATAATCCACCAGAGGTTTTCCTCCATTTTCAGCAATGACTGCTCTCCCACAGGCTCCATAATACTTTGGGAATGGCCATAAATTGTCCAAACTGCTGAAAAACTGAATATAACAGCCAGAGCGCCAGTTAAAAAATTAAAATACAACAGGAAAGCAAATCTGACAATCTATAATCAGTGATAAAATGTTATGTTTCTCAATGGCAGGTGGCACTGTTCTAGAGTGAGCATCTTTAATATTATATTCAGATATACTTCTATACATCAACACTAGAATATGTACCTATTACATTATTGTTTCAAATACCTAATATGTGTTATTATTATCTTAATGTATAGATTGACTCCACAAGGACATCAATTTCTAGTGGCCATGGTGATGCAAAAAAAAAAAAATATATATATATATATATATATATATATATATATATATATATATATATATATTATTGATAAATTAAATAAAAACATCAACAGCAAACCAATGAGTAGTGAGATTTGGTTATTTTGGATTGCACCAAATTTACCTACCTTTAGCAGAGCAGCCTCTGGGTTCACAACTAAGGAAGTGTACATTATTGAACTTTCATGTGCTGATAACTTGTTGTTGTCATCTATATCATAGAGTTGCTGAAGTTTTCTTATAAATCTGGTAGTCAGGCACAGTTTCAGCCTGAAAACAAAACAAAATGAGACCGACTCTCAAAGCCATATCCACAACAGTTAAATATTATATATATTCTTCAGTACTTTCAACAGCTGCAGGCCTACCCAACTACCAGACTCGGCACCCGAATTCACCGGTAGATAGGTAGATACTTCGAAGTGCGTACTGACGCACACCTTAAAAACGGGCAGTGTGGTCCGATCTACTGGTGAATTCAGGATCATTCAGTGCCAAGTCAGGTAGTTGGGTAGGCCTGGCTTAATCATTTACAGGTTCCAAGTCAAACGTTGAAAAGTAAAGAGGTGGAGGATGTATGAACCACTACTATGAGGCCCATCTGAACAGAAAAATAAATCTAAGGGAATTCCATAAAAGTCAAGTTATGGGTTTTCTTTAATTAACCTAGCTGCAGCCATACATTTGGTACAATACTAAATCTCTTCTCTATCAAAATCTGTGAATTTAACTTGAAAAAGGTGCTCATTAACAAATCTAATATACAATAAAAAAGTGATTCAAATGATTTGAAATCTTAATGTCTCTTGTCTTCTCATTTACCCTGCTCCTTCCCTGGTGATGTTGAAGCCCTTGGCCAAGTTCTCAAGCTTCATTGCATCGCGTGCCCCGATGAAGGTCTGTTTAATGACCTCTGGACCGCGGCAGAGCCACCTTTTCTGAGAATGCTTGCACAAAAACTTGTCAAAGTTTTTAAATCCTTCTTCGTGATCTGTAACTAGTTGCTTTAGGACTATATCCTTGTCATCCCATTTGCCAAAATACACACCTCTATAAGTCATGTCACCATTATTTGATTTCAAGATTTTGACGTCTCCATTACTTATTGCACTACATGCGTCTTCTCCAAAACAAGCAGGACAGGTGGACTGCTTGGTTAAAGCATTTGGGACATGTGTGAGATTCTGATCAGTCAAATATCCTCTCAAGAACTGTAAATGATTAGCATACTTTCTGACACCATCCTTCCAGAACCAAAACCCGTGGTCACTTTGTGTCATGTATCTGACAAAGTTAATAAACTGAGCAGGGTAATCAGCTGCTTTTTTAAGCAAAGTGTGTTTCTTCCACGCAAAGTAATTAATATAAAACGTCACAAAGACCGATATACACAAAATGCCAAACATAATGCAGAGTTGATGTCTTTTTAATTGTCTCTTCACAGCCTTAATTTGCTTCATGTTGCTGGTAGCAATTTAGTACTGTATGCAAGATAAATAAGCCCATCCAATTTAGATTGTTTGGTATATTTAAGTAATATTGCTAGCTGTGGAATTATCAGGATCTGTGCAGTAAATGCTCAGTCTCCATCTAGAAGTTTGCTGTCTTTGTCCTTGTTGGCTCAACCAAAGTCCCAGGAGTCTAAGAAAGCGCCACGTACGGAAGGCATGGTACATGTATTCTTGCACTCTTTTTCACTAGTAGAAAGAAACAAATAAACGGATTAAACATAGTGACAAATTACTAGTAATAATTAAACCATATTAATGCCTTGCGTTGTCATTCGTCGCAGAAGCAGTGAAGACGTAGTTGCCTCGGTTATCGGCCTAACATGCAAGCATGTAAAACCGAAAACTGGGGCAAAGTTTTGGGCCAATATAACCAATACAGAGTACATTGTAAATTTTACGAATCCAAGCCGAAAGTAAGGGTCATGAATATTAGTAAGCGCCTAGTGACTATTAAGTGATACGTACGCAACACAATTATATATAAAAACACACTTTTGGGGTCCTACTTACAGGGATATAATGACAGACGGGTCGATTGCTGTTTAGTAAAATGGAGGCCGCCATATTGAACACTCCAACGGGTGATCTCGTTTTCATCCTTAACTTTTAGACTCCACTCCTATATACACCATCCGTCTACATAGGTCGACCTAACTCTGCGGGGACTCTAGCTAAGTGCAATCAGCTTAACTAAATAACACACCTCCTGTTGTTTCCAAACAAAATCTATAGCTTTCCTGTATTCCACTTTACCCCCAGAAGAAGGCGTGACATCCACTTAAACTAATTAGGTATATATTCAGCGAGAGTCTCCGCAGAGTTGGGTCGGTCCACGTAGACCGATTATGTCTATGGGAATGGGGTCTTGGTTTAAAACAGATAATAGGCTTTTTGAAGCAACCTCACTTTTAAGCCAATTGATATATAAGGTTTTATTCCCTTATTTATCCGCTTAGATAATGTATAAATTACATTTTCATGTTATGAGATAGGCCTATTTAGCTGTCGCACAAAATGGACTTTGGTTTATTCGATCCTTTAGGCCTACTTGTTTCTGAGGAATGGGATGTTTTTAAATTTTGACCCATAAAACACATTTGTGAGGCTAAAAACCGTCATGTTAAAGTTGACTCCTCTTAATTTTTTTTCAGTAATCTTAAGTGAGAAAGCAAATATTAATAAAAAAAATGGGGTTTAGGCCTACTGGTGAGCAAAAGTGATAGGGATTTTTCTCTGTATGGGTTTGGAACAGTCAGCCAAACTCTCTGTCAGATTTATATAAAAGCAGCAATGAAACAATAATTATATTTTATGCGTAAATTGTTTGGCATGTGTCTGAAGGTAGCAAATAAAACGGTATCTTTGATGAGTGACAGTTTCACATCCTGCTCACATCTTCATAACTTTTTACCAAGCAAATCCAGGCTTTTAGTTTTCAAGGGCAGTTGACAATTTTTATGTAGGCCTATGTTTCATCCTTCAGCCGTGCCCCTTTAATACAAATTCTTAAACCTTTATTATTCATACAACTTTTATAGTATTTTAAATCAACGTCGCTTTTATAGAATGATTTATTCCCGATATTGTATATTCTGTATATTTATTGGCTAAATAAACCTTCATCTTATCTTTTGTGAAAAACGACTAAGTATGCGAAATTATGTCGGCATACTATAACACTGTTTGATTTGAAGAGCTAGCAAGAAACCGATTTTTCTACCAGCGCTTAGTAAAGGCAAAGGTTTAGTTTTATAGCCTGATTTCCCGAGATGAACTGACTTTTCAGTTATAGAAGTACACGTGAACCTAATGGATCTGTTCACTCCTGAAAAAACCTCACCTCCCTGGGGAACATACAACCTATGCAACGGCATTTGTGGCGATTACAGCTATTATCCACAATTGCGAGCACTGTCGTGATCAGTAATAAGAACTGAATGCTCCCTCCCTCTCTCTCTCTCTCTCTTTCTCTCTTTAATTTTCTTCCCTTTTCTTCTAGATATGTGGACACTTTGCACAGTTTTGTTAAATTGACTGTTTTAAAGAGACAGTCTGTCCGCTTCTTTAAAATTTTTGACAACGACTAATATGACACGTCTTTTCTTTTTATCTATTTACTAGTTTGTCAATACATCAAATGTAGCATGGTTTAATTTCCATTTACGTCACAACAAACAATTACCGTTCTCACAACACCCAGGATTATCTGTTCACCTGTATATTAGAGGCTGGGTTAAGACAGCACTAGTCGGTTATAAGTCAATGGAAAATAGAAGCGAGTCAATTTATTGTGAAGCCACATAAAAACAACATGCTAAAAAGGCTTGTATCTTTTCTAAAACGGGTAAATGGTGCGAACAGAATACTCCGATGAAAAGTCAAGCTCTACTGAGCAACCCGTTGTCCTCAGCTTGATGAATATCGATTTTTTGTTCAAAAGTAATGATTCCGTTGTTGGAGATACGAGAGTTGATAAATGCATACTAATTCAAGCACCCGGTTTGCAATTCGTTTTTCAGACAATGTTTACTCTATTTCTTCACAGCCAGTTTAATCCATAGAAGAATACAGACGTTTGCATTGACAGTAACAGATTGCAGTTGCGCAGGAACAGGTGCTTAGAAACCTATTGTGAAAATTGCCTGAAATCAGCTATTTCTGTGGTTACGCAACCTTATTGAATCACTTACTCTTGCATCTAGTTGGGATATTTCAAACGGAGATTGCCATGTGATTTTGTCCGTTTGGCCACATTGGTGATTTCCCGAGTATTGGCTTGGAGCAGTGACGAACAGGATCCGAAACATGCAACGCTCTCCGGAACCCATGGTATGTCAACAAGAAGCAGCACTCTGCTCCAAAATCATTTCTCCGTCATCAAATACCTTGTGAAAAAGATGTATTTGCAAACCTCGTGTGTTGAATAACGACCTGTTTGCATCCTATAAATAACCATCGTTGGTACATCGCTTTTATATACATATACATGTGTTATTATTTCTATTAACACAATCTTCTTCAGTCGTTGGAGGCGTTTGATTCCATCAGTGACATAATGAACGATCCACAAATGAAAAAGAAAATATCTGCTCTACCAGCTAAATTACAGGTAAGACGCTGTAAAGAACATGTGCTTATCATATATTTGCTTTTGAAGTGGCGAAGACTTGTCAATGTATGTCATCATTAAAGGTGGGAAGTCGAGAATACCATAAAAATGTATTCGATTGTAGTAGAAACGTCCAGAAAACTCATCTTCACTTTATACTAATTACGCCTTAGAATTATCGTTTTGGATGGTTAATATATTCACTATATTCACTATATTCCTTTTTATTCATCGACCATGAATGTAAGAAACCTGAAACACTGTTATGTTCTGAATGCTGAGTGATTGCTGGACAAACATTAAAAAACATAAGGACCAAATTATACTTCATGGGGTGTTGAATAACTGACAAGTAACCACCGACAGATGATTGCAACAAGCTCCACATTTTTTTTTTTTTTGCAACAATTTCAACAAAATGATCAAAAAAGCATTTACCATCAGGTTTCCTTGCGTTAACGTCTTCGTCCAGTAAATGCTTTCGTTGTTTGTTGATGACGAATCGTTTTGGGAAACTTTTATAAATGTAAATGGCTGCCACTCACAAATTTCAGTTTTATGGTATGTTCCCTAATTTCCCGAAATGCGTATATTACATGTAAGATTACCTTTAATAGATGTGCAAGCAACGTAAAATACTTTGATAAAGTAAATAATTCCGGTAGAATATATATACATCCATAAAAATAATTTGCTCATAGAGAGACCCTGTTATCATCATCTTTTTTTTTTTTTTTTTTTTTTTTGGCAAATTAGGTCAAACCATTCTTGAATTTGGCATCATTTATGAACGCTATGAAAAGTTAAAACGTTTATGAACAGGACGTTTAGGAAATCATAATCCATTCATTTGGTATCAAGCATCTACATACATACATGCATTTTAATCCACTGGGACATATTTTAGGTAAGTTGCGGTGCTTTTGAAAGAGGAAAGATATTCGAGCCAGATGTTGCAATTCACGTGGGGCGATGGCTCGGTGTAGCACCAAAATCTTCCGTGTTAATAGAACACATTAAATCCGCCCATTTATGTATATATATCGATAGTTTTAGAGAACTAATGAATATTGTTAACCACTTTTAAAATCGAAGTTCTTAGCAACACTGATGTTAGCTTTCCCCTTCACTAAGCTTATTAAAGGATGTAAGTGTTGCGTTAAGTGCGCTATTTACATTGCGGAGGGTATCATCCAGCAACTAGAGGGTTCTCAGAGGTGCAGGCACAGGCAGAGCTATCAAGATGTAGGCCTACTATCAAGTTTGTTTTTATTTGAACGTCGTCTTAGTTACAGAGATATTGTGTGATCAACAAAAGTGATAAGTTAAAAATACTGCACAAATACCTTTCTCTTAGATTTGTATTAGACGAGAGCATAATATCTGAGAACATATTCACAAATGAAACCCGTGTTTTTTAACAAGCAGTGTGTAGGTCTACTGAAAACAGTCAACATGTTTTGACTGTATTTCATCGTTCTCTCTCTCTCTCTCTCTTGTGAAAGGTAACAGACCCAGTACCATTAACATAATCAATGCTCTTGAAATTATATGAAACTTTTGGTCTACTTGATATGAGCAAACCATCCATTTACATTCCACTTATATACAGGGGATCAATAGAGCACGATAAAAAGAGCATGTTGCCTATAATTGACTCTTTTATTTTCTTTCATTGGTTTTTAGGTACAGTTCTTGGCATCAGTCAGCAAGGCGTTTGCCAAGGACAGTAATCTCACCGTTAAAGCTATAAATTCAACACGGAATCTGTTGGCCAATAAGGAGTCTTCGATGGACAAAAGGAAACTTAATAAAACAAAAGGAAATCCTTGGCCTGGAAACCCCATACCTAATCCGGTGCAATATGATGATTCGGACACTGATTCCGATTCCGATTCTGATTCCGACAAAAACAATTATTATGTCAAAAAACCTCTCTCAAGAGTTAAAGACTTTCCCAAAAAACCTGCAATCCACAGTTTAGCCACAGAAAATGAGGGTTCCGACACTGATACTGATTCGGACTCCGATTCTGCCTCATCAGTTGATTCACGGAAATGTATCAAGGTTAATGCATCAGAAACTAGCGATAGTGAGAGCGAATCACACGTTAATGACCAGCAGGTAGAGGAAACGGAAAATGACGCGCCCGAACAGGACATGAAGGTCACAGTGGGAACGGAGGGTTGCATTAAGGATGTCTCAGGGAGTTCGACTCAAGAAGAAGATGAAATTGAAAAAGCAAATAAGGACGGAACGGACGGCGATGGTGGCAGTGAAGCTGACCCTGGAGGGGAGAACACAGAAAATGAACCTGCCAACGACGAAGAAAAAAAGACAGGTACTCCAGTGCGTGCAAGCAGGAGATCTATGAAGTTTTCAAAAATAAGGTCAAAATCTGCGCCAAACAAAATGCCAAATACTAGTAATACAAGAGACAAAAACGGCTCACGACCATTTGGTAATTTTCTCCGACCGAAAACTGTCGCGCCACTGCCAGTGTGCAAGAAGCGGTCACGTGAAAGGGATCCTTTCTTCGATTTCCGCGTCACTACTGCCATGACGACCCACGAGTTGGGACTCTCAAGACTGGAGAGGATCGACAACCTTCCAACACCTCTTACTTTACCCAAGACATTATCTGCGCCCCATTCCCCACTGAGGTCCAGCGCGAGCTCCTCGTCCGACCATAAGACAAATGTTGAAAGGGTAAAATCGGTTCAAAATGAAGCATATTTATTGAGACAATGCCAGAAAAAATTGACAGCATTTCCAAGTATTCGAGCAGCTCATTCTTACACGGTTATCAAAACTGTACGAGAACAGGAGCAGAGCAAACCTTTCGATCATAGTGACAAACATAAATATCCGCAACTTCGTCAGATCCGGTATAAGTCTGTAAAACCAACATCAAGTTAATCCCAAGAAAACAGTGCATATCGACGAACCTCTCAGTCCTAGCAGTTTTCTTTGGGTCTACAGAATCCATAAAAAAAATGTCTCAAAACGAAGTCTTAAAGACAAAGGAAAACCTGACTGTAATTGCACTGCAACGGGAAAAAGAAACTACCAGATATTCACTTATTTTTGGCAAGATTGTATTATTATTATTTTTTTTTTGAGAGATCACTATCATATCCGCACAGTCTTTTTACTTTCAACTGTTTACGTCATCAACTAGATATTTATATCAAGATTATAATATATATCAGGTGATGAATAAAATAAGATCATTGTTGAATATATGGAAACTGAAACGATTGTATTTGACATTTAGAATGAGAAGTTATAGTGAATACCGTTTGTCTAGTCATTTAGATGAAACGACTCAGTTATCAATCTGTGTTCAATTAATGACAAAGCTTTTTGAATAATTTGAGTCTCGTTATTGACTGTGATAAAGGTGACTGAGTACGCAATTGCTAATAACAATTAGAATGTAGGCCTACCCTTGCACGTGCGTCTTATGCATACAAAATTGAAGTGGCTGCAAGTCCCTGTACTTTGTATTTTTCAGTGTCATGAAGACCTGCAATAAAGTATTTAGATATGATTTCTGTTTCTTATTTTATATTTTATTTTATTATTTATTTTATTTTATTATTATTTATTTATTTATTTTTGTAGCTGCCTTGTTTTTATCTCAACATGAAAATGGGTCCAATATCACTGCTCTTTTTATTTTGATGCAAGAGAGCGAACGCAATCGAGTGAAAGAGATAGAATGACTCTAACGCCTATTGTGAGAGCGAATGAAAATTTAACCATCTTATTGATCCCATCTCATTCTCTTCGAGACGTGTGCTGTTAGAATCACAACTAACACATCGGCCCCCGCCCATTGCATTACTTACAAAGATGGACAACAAATGCAATTACAATGGTTGTTTGGCCACAACTGTAATTAAAAAAAGCACAAATAAAATGTATGTGCTCATTTTTACTGAATTTGTCATTTTACACAAGTTAAGATCAATTCTATGTCATTAAGGGGAAATTCAAACAGTCGAAGCCCCAGTACATTGTTTATTATATTATTGAAAAGCATCAGTAAACCTAGGGTGGGTTTAATAACGATGGCACGAACGATTGTCAGAAGAAATGCATTTGGCATGATGCGTTATAGTTTTTGTTATAATTATTAAGGATACCATTTTAGCTCTTAACATTTACATTGATCTGTTTTCAGCATTTATTTAGTAAGGGAATTCGACAGTTATCTTCGAAAGAGCACAAAAAAATTCGAGCCTTAATTGCAGGTATTTATTGATCTCTCACAGCGATATCAGAACATAATTATGGTAATGAAAAAGGTCAGATTCCATTGGATGGATTATATTCATCGGTACATGAAGTGGGTTATGATTGATATTGTTGTTGTTGTTGTTGTTTTTAATTTCGGTAAATGACCAACATATGCAGATAGGAAACAGATATTGATCTGTCATTGTATTGAGTAAAAATGCTTTAGGATATTCTTGGGATTGAATATTATTCAACTTGAAAAAGTATGGCGAGTTTTCTTTCACTGTGTTTAGATACATTGATTTTGGAAAAACGTGTGGGGGAATAATAGCAAACTCGTTGCTCTTTGACTGGACATACACAATTTTTATCTAGATAATCTGATGTGAAAAACATTAAGCACATTTATCTAATTTTATCCATTATTAACCGCCGATTCAGCTGCACCTATAACTTGTTGACGCGTGTCACGCCTTTTTAAATAATGATGGAATCAATAGTCGCCACACAAACGTTTCTCGTTCTCATATGTCCGGATCAATGTCTCTAATGGGAGTTCATATTGTACAAACTTGTAGCAGAAATATTAGTTGTATTTGACTGCAGGCGATACATTTCACCCATGATGGGATATTTATCCTTGTCTACTGACACACCATCGATAGAAATGTTTACCAAATAGTCCTCCTCTCACTGGTTTTAAGAAAAATATTTCATTGTGTCTGGACACGATGGTGTAAAATCAATTAATTTGACAACCAGCAAGTAGATCTTATCATGCGATCAACAGTTATTTTAAAGGCATACGATCAGTGTTTGTCCTTTATATATCAAAAAATAAATCTTCTTATAACATTTCCTTTTATCACCAAAGTTTACCATACATCCGAAACAGTTCACGGAATTACGATCCATAAGCCCATTGTCAAGTTCTGTTTTTTTCAGATAAAATGAAATAAGATTAATATTTATTTTGCCTATAAATGTATAAAATTTAAAGAAGAATAAATTTTCCTATTAAAGCGTTTATAATCACTGAGTTAAGATAGAAACGGGCAATTCCACTCATGACAGTGAAAAATATAAATTTAAATTTAATAATCATCATATTTTGTAGTGGAGGTAAGCATCTTTGACTTGAGGTGTTCAAGTTATCTAATACAGATATACCGCGCTAGCCACAGCTGCAGGAGCCCTGTTCTTAGCCTGTTGACAGACTGGAGGATTATGATAACAATCTGAAGCCATTTTACCTTCGGATATTGTTGATACCTGTCACTTCGATATTTAAGCTAGCTTTATGGATAGTGGATGTTACACCCTCTATCTAAATGGTATCTATCTTATTATACAATATTACGAAAAACTCTGCTAATTCATACAATGTGACCCCTACAACAGCACTTAGAAAACTTTGCAGCACAAGTAGTTATGGGCTTCCACGCCTGAAGATGATGAGAGAAATATGCAGTGAATAATTGCACTGAATATGCAGATACTAAATATTGCCCGTTTCTTCATTCCACCAAATACATTTACACAGAAAAATCATAAAATATTAAACGCGTGTTGATTTATCTGCGTATGTTGAAATGCCATTGTCTTACAAATGTAACTCATTGTTTTTAAATAGAGACAATTAATAGTTCCAGTTTGGACAAGAGCCGTGCAATTTATACAACTTTCGCTCTTTCGCTTTGTAATTTGTTTCAAGATTATAAGCACTGATAAATCAGTAGCAAATATACACCGAAGAGCGTTGTGCAACAATAAAAACATATAAAGATTAATAATGGATACAACGCTTTAATTAGGGTATTAGTGCAAAGCACAGTATTTTGCATCATTTTGCTTCGGATTATTATATTGCCATCCAATATACGACTTCTATAATGTTAATGGTTGAACAAATCGTTGCCAGCGTAAACAAACGGAATGCTTACATCTATCATATGTGCAATCACTGCAATAATGTAGGCCTCTAATAAAATGGAATGTTTCTAAATTCCCAATAAACACATTAGTCAAGTAAAACCATATGTCCATAGTTCCATGACTTGACTCCAATGACAAACATTAAATTCATCAAGCCAATTGGACTACGCACACTGCTCCATGGGGCTCGATTGCCAAATGCTTTTAAAGATACAAATAATTCATATGATAGCGCAGCTCTAAGCAAACTGGCTCCACTTGTCGAATGTTTCGCTCAATACGTCTAATGAGTGCAAGGAAGCCATAAACTTTGAACATCCTTCACCTTTATTCATTACATCTCTATCTGTATTCTCTTGCCTTCAAGATGTGCTTATGTAATTTATACCGGGAACAAATGTTGGTAAAGATCACAGTTTGTGATGGCAATAATTTCCGAACAATTAAAAGACATCGATCAAGGGCACTGGGTTGGATTATGAGGGTTCCGCATGAATAGACGTAAGATAGCGAGAAGAGAGAATTCAACTCCCTTAAAGAACAAAAAAGAGTCTTCTGGAATTTTTAAAAGCATCATTATGTGTACAAAACTGTATATTGAACCATTCTTCAACAATAAGAATAGTTGTTTACAGATATTTTTAATCAGGCAACGGCTATTAATGGGACACACCGCAGTATCGATTCTTTCCCTCGGAAAGGGTGAATTATTATCTCAGTGTCAATTTCTCCAGTGTAATGCTCAGGGCTGATGATAGTATCGAGCGTGGACAGGGTCTTATTGTCACTACAGACGAGGTGGCAACATGATCGCCAGTGTAACAAACAGACCCGTTTCCAACGCCTAGTATCAGGACACTTCAAGTGCAGTCTCGTGTCACTGGTCTCTTTATGAGGGAGTGCTTGGTGAACGTACAATGACTGTGCCTGAGAGAAAAGATTTCAACTTGAGTTAGAACAGACTTTGCAATTGATTTTTGTTTAAAAAAATATTCAAGGTAATGAAATATTCATGGACCTGTGAATGACACACTGATTTTTGAAGAAGCGAGAACCACAATGGAATTCAATGCCTTAATGTACTGAGCAATGCGCAGCAAGGGTGTGTTTTACCGTACTGGAACAACACCGTATACATTGTAACATATAAAACTCACAAGGGACGTCCTTGTCTTTGTATATAAAGAAATCCAGATATTCAAAATGGCAGATATCTTTGAAGACGATTTCTTCAGTGAAAGAATACAGAACTTACCTCAACATTTGCAAGTAAGTAAATTATAATCAAATAGTTGATTTCTTATGTTTGGCACATAAAGAATTGACAGAAGTATAAATTAATCACTCTAGATAGAACATTTTTTAAGTCTTGAATAAAATATTTTAAATACCAATTTAGATGATTCGTGTATCTAAATGTATTTCAAAATGCATGAATATATAGAAATATAAAATTTTGCAAATAATGCATGGTTATTTGAAATTTTCGAACATCAAATTTCAAACTGAAAGCAAAGAGCATATTTTAAGAAATATTACAATAGAAGTAAAATATATGTTGCCAGAAAACACTATAATTTGTATTTATTTATTTTATTGATAAAATAATAACCAACCAACGTCTTACGACTACTTTTTTCTTGCAGGTTGCTTTCTATAAGGCTGCAAAAAAGCTGTACGACAAAAGCACAAATGATAACATTGAAAGCATTAAGGAAAGTCGCAAGGGAATGTTTGAAACAGCAGTTCAAATAATTGACGAGCAGGAAAGTTTGAAGGAAGAACTGGAAGATATGCGCGCTTCCAAGGCTGCCAAAAGATCTCGTTCCACATCCAACCGAGCTTCAACAAGTGCGCAGACACCGGTTGTCACGGAAAAGCAGGAATCGCAACCAGATAACAATACCAGCGAACCAGTAAATACAATTGAACCGATCAAAGAAATTGAAGCAGTTGAAGAGGCGAAAGAGACATTGCCGTCTCCGAAACCGATCACGCCGGACGTTGTTGAAGAGGCTAAAGAGACATTGCCGTCTCCGAAACCCATCACGCCGGACAACGTTGAACAAACAGTTGAAGAGGAAAACACAGGCATGCCACCTGATTTCCCTCAACCTCTCGAAAAGTCAAAAAGTGTCGTAAGTTCGAGCCAACTTTCAATACACAGTCAGTCAGGTGGATATAAAACAATAAGGAAGAATATTGGAAGAAATAAAGTTGCAATTGTTGAATTTGAAGTAGAGGACTGGTCGCATGTTGAAACGAAGTTAGACACTTTGAATACACAATACAAGAAGAAAAAATCAACAAAGAAAATAAAGAGCTATCCCATACCAAAGTACAATGTTCCCAGTAAACTTGGTTTAAGTTTACTTCCAAAAGCGAAACCAAAAGTTGAAACCGCCCCTCAGGACACTCCATATTTACCCAAAATAAAGCAAAAGAAAAGGACTCGTGTCTCAAAAGACCAAACTACTACCACCACCACCACCAAACCATCTCGAAAAGAAAATAGGCAGAGTGATCCTGAACAGAGAGTTACTCCTGTACCTCCTCCACCCACTGGCAAACATGCTGAAGCTAATACTAAAGTTACATCTCCAATACACCCTAATGCTTCAACCGAAGACACGCCAAGTTCTACAGGCTGTCAAGAAAATAGCGGCCCAGCAGACTTGTCTAATAACGTTGAGCAACAGGATACAGGGAGTCACGAAAACTATGTCGAAATGGGAGATGATGGTGAAGATATTAAAAAAAGTAAAAGGGAAGAGGCTGGTTTAACGAATGATGTTAATACGCCCATTACCATAGATCGTGACACAGCAACATTGGATTCAAACATAGAAGAACCCAATGAAATAAGTTGCGAAGAAACCAGCTGCTCAGAGAGTAATAATCTGGATCGACAAGAAGATTCAGAAACTGCAGAAAATTCTTCCGGGGTGAAATCCAAACAGAAAAAGTTTGTGTATGTTCACCCGGCTGACTTGAAAGAATCTGGAAACATTTCTGTCACCAATACGGAAGGCCAACAGGAAAATGAAGAAAAAGAAGCCAGAACACAAATTGATGTGAACATTTCAGAGTCCCAGAAAGAGAACGCTATATTGTCGACACCGCCTCTAGCACATAAAGGTAACACGAGCAGCACGGAAAATCAGGAACCTGAGGAACAAACAGACGATAACACTGACACCATAAATATCGCTGAAAACTTGGATGAATCAAGCCCAGCTGTGGCAGGTGAAAATGGGGACATTAGTATAGAAAATGAAACAAATACCAGCCATAAACTGGACATAGAAAATGTTGAAAATGAAAACGTTATTGAACATGTACCCCGTGTGTCTAGACAGACATCTTTTATTGTTGACAACAGCCAGAACCAAGACTGCGGTCGAACTTCCAGTAGGGCGAATAGTGAGTTGAGAAGCGGGAAAGTAAATGGTTACGATCTTCCACCCATTAATGCTCAAAACAATACTACAGACGATAAACACCGTATGGTGGAAAAGAAAAATTCTGTGAAGTTCCACAAGGAGAAAAAGATGGTAAGATTTCTTTGTGTAACGTGTTCAAGTAGGCTTGTAAATTAAAAAGCCAGTGTTATAATTACGTGCTTTGATACCCAAAGTGAAAGCCCTCATTGATTGTCAAGCAAACGATGCCCACGAGTTTTTAGATTTTTCATGACGGTATCTGTCTTCATGATCGATACTGATACACAAACACGTCGTTCTCTGTTTTCACGTAAACATTCACTTCTCAACATGATAATGAAATATTGATGTGTTTGAATTGACAGAGATTCCCCTTTATTGCGTATTACATGTATTTAAACCTGGAAACAAGGGTCAGGATTAAGAACTGATAACTGTATAGGCCTAATCCATGCCCTTTTCCACGTAGGCATTCTTCACCTGTAGTGAGTACATACAGACAGATGGCGACCACTGTTGTGTTAGGTTTACAGCCACTATTTAAAGGCTATGTACAAAAGGATCTTTATGGCCGACAAATATAACTTTACTTTTCCCGTGAAAGAATATTTTGTTGACACAAGGACATGTTTACAAACCCGTTGTATGTGGGTAAAACAAACAGATACTAAATTATTTAAAAAGTAGTTCACATAAGTCACATTTGGCAAGTTTCGGTTACATTTTAAGTAATATTAGCGCGATTCAGGTGTGTTGCTTAGGTTTGGTACAAGCAAAAAACGTATACAATGTACGCTAGACCAGAAAAAAATTCTGGAAATGTCAATAAATTGCCTTTCTTCACCAAGGTGGTCAAGGCCAAAGACTGCTGGGAAAAGCCCCACCCCCACCCCCACCCCCCACCCGCCCCAAGATTTTGAAGGAAAAAAACAATTTTTATGTAGACTTTTTTCTTTTTAGAGGGCTATAACCTTTTCTTGATTTTTAGATAAGAGTGAAATTTACCCGTCCCCACCTACATTTCGAAAGTGACTAAAAAATCAGAAACTTATAACTCAAAAACTGATCTTTATTTAGTCAATCGTAATTTTGGATATGCTACACCTTGGTATTTATTATTATTATTATTATTATTATTATTATTATTATTTATTGCTTTATAAAGGTCTGACGTTCATAGTGTGGCTTGAAGCACTATGTTGCTTTACTACTCATATCACATATTTAATAAATTTTATTTAATAATGTTGAAACTTTGTGGTTGAATAAGTGTTTCATAATACACTCCTTGTTTGCATGAAGTATTTGCTAATTTTCGACTATGGTTTGTGGAGATTGGATACAACGTGCATGATAATAAGTTGTGCTAAATGTAACTTCTCATTTGCATGCTCTCCTGCACCACAATATGTGGAATTATGCATGTTTTCTCCAGAGTTAAAAGTGGTCTCTACTTCCTCACTGGTTCATGCTATAGACACACTTAATTCAAGGTACCTCTCTACTTGAGCATGTTCTCAATTGTTGAAAACGGTTTCGGTCTTTCCTGGTTACTTTTTAATGGAATGATCATAATCTTCTACTCTAGTGGGACAGGAGCAGATTTGACAGAATTGCTCGAAAAAAGTATCTTGGTCCTCTGATCTTGCACTTGGTTCTTCATCTTGCTATTGCTTCTTTTCCGCGAAAGACTGTCGCGAGTTTTGGTATTCCCTTTCATGTCGGATCTTATTGTTCCTTTTCTGTCGTATTTTATAATTCATAAATCCTTTCTTGCTGATGTTGTAACTTTTCTCCATATTCTCCTGGATTTTCTGAATATTCTTCTGACAATTTTCTGTTGAGAAGTCATAGGTAAGTCATCCGACTTCAACATCTTCACGACAGTTAATTGTGTTTGTCCATGGCTTATCCTTCTTAGGTTTACCAAAACTCGCTGAATGGGCTAGTTCATCAAGGTAAACTTTTTACTTGAGGATTTCTGCAAACATTGTAAGTATTTGGGTTCAAACTTAAACTTTTCTTGGTCGTCGTGGCTGAAATTCCAGGCATAAAGAGATGCACCCTAGTTAAACAAGCAGAGCTACTTTGGGCGACTTCGTATAGATCACCAATAATAGTTTGCAAGATCAATGTGAAGGTTTTTCACCCAGTGCTTGGCTGTAAATCGTTCTCATTTTCACACATTGCAGTGCTAGGGCAGATTATATCTATGATGATGATGATATCAAACTTTTTTTACTTTAGAGATAAAAAATAACTGATAATTGGGAATACGTTTCACAATTTCTTTCTTTGTTTATCCACATCAGCGAAACCAAATTGATACTGTCACAGATGTTCTCATATCATGTCGAGAATTTTTTGTGGTTTTCTTTACCACGTCGTTTTTCAAAGTACCAGTGGATTACGATTATTGCTAAATAATACCATTTCATCATATATAACTAATGCTACTTTTTTTCTTTTCTTCTTTAAAAGGCACAAAAGAAACACCGTACGAGTGATCAAGACGTAAAAGCAGTGGAAACAACTTTTCCAAAGATTGAATTGCTGGACTCACCGTCTAAAATCATAACATCAACAAGTGCAGACAGTATGACAGGCAATCTCTCTCTATTAGAAGACAAGTACCAGCAGTTATTCCTGATCGGAAACCAAAATACTCGGAACTTTCTTAATCCAAGAATTGCTCGTGCGTACATGTTAATAAAACAAACAAAACTGGCATCCAGAAGCATGCCAGAAATCGGAGGGAAGGGAATAGAGTCGGTCCATGCCAGAGAACGACGTAGACGACTTTCAACACTTATGTGCCTCCCTTCCATAAAAAGCGTGAGTGTGGGCGAAGTGGGGTTTTATTACCGCTCGGGACAATCGGGAGCTTCTCACGCGTCCCCCAGGCGTTGATTTGTGGTATACATACTAGCGAAAAGGACCAGATACAGCCAATCTTGACATGCAGGAAAAGAATATTTAATTTCATTAAAAGTAAAAATAATAGACTTGAAGGAATTAATTGGGATATTTATATATCAGCTTATTTAGCATGGCATGTTACTTGTGGCATGCAAAAAAAAAAAAAAAAAGATTTTGAAGTCCAATTTAATAATAAATAGGAATTAAACTTTCAAACTTATTGTTATATGTAGATATTGTCATTCTATTTGCCCTTTCTTTTTTATGTACAGATACATCGTGTCTGTACATATAGCCATCATCTACGTCTATCGTGTGCACTTCNAAAAAAAAAAAAAAAAAAAAACAGATTTTGAAGTCCAATTTAATAATAAATAGGAATTAAACTTTCAAACTTATTGTTATATGTAGATATTGTCATTCTATTTGCCCTTTCTTTTTTATGTACAGATACATCGTGTCAGTACATATAGCCATCATCTACGTCTATCGTGTGCACTTCGCACTGTTAACGGAATAAATGGAAATCGTGTGACTTATTAAACTTAAAGATATTGGAGCGATTTCTGGCTCTAAGATAGCATCTTTATTGGGCCGTTTTTCTTCAAGTTATGCAGTCCATCATTACTTTTTGCCTATTGTCTGTATATTTCACAGTTATGCTGCCTTGCAACATATTTTTGTTCATCATCATCATCATCATCATCACTATAGGCTCTAAATGATGATGATGATGAACATATTTTTTATCAAAACAAAGCAGAACTTACTGTATTACAATATATTTGCTCAAGAAAAATTTTCTGTCTGGGGAATAGCTAGAGTTGCGTATCTGTGTGGGTAAAACTGGAATTTGCACCTTATTCACATCAATTCCTGTTTTACATCAAGCTGCAATGTCGAAACCAGTTCTTGTATTACTGTTATTATGGATGTAATTGTTGAAGGAAAGAAGGCAATGAATTCAGCTTGTCAGGGTCTGATATGAATTATACTGTTTGCGCCGCAGCTATGGCCATAAACGAAACAGTTATAAATAATACAGGAACACAAATATATTGTGTTGTGGGGATTTTTTCTATCTAATAGGAAAAGCATGAAAAAGTATTGATAAGTACGCATGCATAATAATAATACTAAAAAAAAAATAAATAAAGACCAACCAACCAATGTTGTGATACGAAATTGGATCAAGTTCTTGATTTTACCTTAAAAAAAAAAAGTCACTTAAATTTTGTAGCCCATATAACAATCTTCAGGTAAAACTCGCCAAAATCTGCGGTATGCGGAGTGTGTACTGCTTACAACATTTCCAGCATAAGTGTATTCATGACATTTGATGTTTTCCATAATGGACGAAGTATATATTACAGGCTGATTTATAGAGTAAAAAAGATTAGATTTACGTGAGGCTTAATTATGGATAATGGAAAAAATCTGCGTTGTAGATAAAACAAGGGGTTATGGAAGAACTCCCAGTCAGAGTTGTAGGTGAATCTTAATATTTCGTATTTCGTACATGTATTCACATCTAGAGTTTTTGTCTTTAACGTACCCTTTAAATAAAGTACGCACATGCAAACTGAGGTTACTTGTGGCCCGATTTTAGGGAATTAACGAGCGTTCCAATGTACTTTAAAATCGGGGCAGAAGTAAACACAGTTTTTGTGCTTTATTTTAATAAATATCTTACAGTTCGCCTAATGAAATTCCACCTATAAATCAGTAGCTTGAAGGCAAATATGACCTCCATCTAATGAGTGAGTGCTCTTGACACCCATGGAAAGGAAGACGCTCCCGTTATCTAAATAGTAAGGGCAGAATTTAAGACATGCTGTAATGAGCGTTAAACCTTTACATATAGCCAAAGAAAGAAAAAAAATCTGTAACATTTCAGTAGTTTTACTTTTATCGCCAAGGTATAACCTATCCAATACCTTCTTGTGAATCAACATCTATGTCTTTTCCAAAGTTCTTTATTTCGCTTTTTACTGTTTCGCGGGATACTCCAATCTTCTTTTCCATTACGGGATTGACTCAGAACGAACGGATAGTTGTAAAACTTTCAAATCAAAAACTGTGCGACTGCCGGCTTTCAGTGATTTAAAGACATTTTTCACAATCTGCTCTACACACGTCACACAGACATTTTTGACAAATCTACAGTACACATGTCATTTTATAAACAAAAATATTATGATGACTGCAGCTTTTTTATCCTGTCCTTGTACGTATGCAAATCTATTTCAAAATCTGATTTTTGACCAGATAATTATGGCAGTTTAGAGGAGTCGAGTTTTGTGTGCTCGCACCTTTTGACCTTTTTGCTAAAATTGGCAGTTACATGTACTGGCGGTCCGATTAATTTTATCTTGAAAAATGCAAGCCTGCATTACATCAGGCATTACACATATCATACCCTGAACAAATTTTGAGTGGTGATGCAATGCTTTTCAACCCCGCTGAGAATCGTCACTATCACATCGCGTACTAGACAAGAGCGGTTTTGCGTCTGATACTGTGTAATGCAATCTGACACACACACCTTGAAAACGGGTAGTGTGGTCTGATCTACCGGTGAATTCGGGATCATTCGGTACCGAGTCTGGTAGTTGGGTAGGCCTGGAGTAGCGGTACGGGAACTTATGGACAAGCCAGATAAATTGTTCTCAAAACAAGATAACGAAGGACAGCAAACTATGAGAAAGTGGGGGGAAAGTCAATGGACACATTTATTGTCCTTTACTATTGTCACAATTGGTTGATAACGCGTTTCTTAGGCCAGACAAAATTGATTAGTTAGTTTTAACCATGTAAAAGCATGAGCGACCAAATTTAAATATGAGAAAAAATTACATCTATTTGTTTTTCAAAAAAANAAAAAAAAAAAAAAAAAGATTTTGAAGTCCAATTTAATAATAAATAGGAATTAAACTTTCAAACTTATTGTTATATGTAGATATTGTCATTCTATTTGCCCTTTCTTTTTTATGTACAGATACATCGTGTCTGTACATATAGCCATCATCTACGTCTATCGTGTGCACTTCGCACTGTTAACGGAATAAATGGAAATCGTGTGACTTATTAAACTTGAAGATATTGGAGCGATTTCTGGCTCTAAGATAGCATCTTTATTGGGCCGTTTTTCTTCAAGTTATGCAGTCCATCATTACTTTTTGCCTATTGTCTGTATATTTCACAGTTTTGCTGCCTTGCAACATATTTTTGTTCATCATCATCATCATCATCATCATCACTATAGGCTCTAAATGATGATGATGATGAACATATTTTTTATCAAAACAAAGCAGAACTTACTGTATTACAATATATTTGCTCAAGAAAAATTTTCTGTCTGGGGAATAGCTAGAGTTGCGTATCTGTGTGGGTAAAACTGGAATTTGCACCTTATTCACATCAATTCCTGTTTTACATCAAGCTGCAATGTCGAAACCAGTTCTTATAATTGTTGAAGGAAAGAAGGCAATGAATTCAGCTTGTCAGGGTCTGATATGAATTATACTGTTTGCGCCGCAGCTATGGCCATAAACGAAACAGTTATAAATAATACAGGAACACAAATATATTGTGTTGTGGGGATTTTTTCTATCTAATAGGAAAAGCATGAAAAAGTATTGACAAGTACGCATGCATAATAATAATACTAAAAAAATAAAATAAAGACCAACCAACCAATGTTGTGATACGAAATTGGATCAAGTTCTTGATTTTACCTTAAAAAAAAAAAAAAAAAAAAAAAGTCACTTAAATTTTGTAGCCCATATAACAATCTTCAGGTAAAACTCGCCGAAATCTGCGGTATGCGGAGTGTGTACTGCTTACAACATTTCCAGCACAAGTGTAATCATGACATGTGATGTTTTCCATAATGGACGAAGTATATATTACAGGCTGATTTATAGAGTAAAAAAGATTAGATTTACGTGAGGCTTAATTATGGATAATGGAAAAAATCTGCGTTGTAGATAAAACAAGGGGTTATGGAAGAACTCCCAGTCAGAGTTGTAGGTGAATCTTAATATTTCGTATTTCGTATATGTATTCACATCTAGAGTTTTTGTCTTTAACGTACCCTTTAAATAAAGTACGCACATGCATACTGAGGTTACTTGTGGCCCGATTTTAGGGAATTAACGAGCGTTCCAATGTACTTTAAAATCGGGGCAGAAGAAAACACAGTTTTTGTGCTTTATTTTAATAAATATCTTACAGTTCGCCTAATGAAATTCCACCTATAAATCAGTAGCTTGAAGGCAAATATGACCTCCATCTAATGAGTGAGTGCTCTTGACACCCATGGAAAGGAAGACGCTCCCGTTATCTAAATAGTAAGGGCAGAATTTAAGACATGCTGTAATGAGCGTTAAACCTTTACATATAGCCAAAGAAAGAAAAAAAATCTGTAACATTTCAGTAGTTTTACTTTTATCGCCAAGGTATAACCTATCCAATACCTTCTTGTGAATCAACATCTATAAGTCTTTTCCAAAGTTCTTTATTTCGGTTTTTACTGTTTCGCGGGATACTCCAATCTTCTTTTCCATTACGGGATTGTCTCAGAACGAACGGATAGTTGTAAAACTTTCAAATCAAAAACTGTGCGACTGCCGGCTTTCAGTGATTTAAAGACATTTTTCACAATCTGCTCTACACACGTCACACAGACATTTTTGACAAATCTACAGTACACATGTCATTTTATAAACAAAAATATTATGATGACTGCAGCTTTTTTATCCTGTCCTTGTACGTATGCAAATCTATTTCAAAATCTGATTTTTGACCAGATAATTATGGCAGTTTAGAGGAGTCGAGTTTTGTGTGCTCGCACGTTTTGACCTTTTTGCTAAAATTGGCAGTTACATGTACTGGCGGTCCGATTAATTTTATCATGAAAAATGCAAGCCTGCATTACATCAGGCATTACACATATCATACCCTGAACAAATTTTGAGTGGTGATGCAATGCTTTTCAACCCCGCTGAGAATCGTCACTATCACATCGCGTACTAGACAAGAGCGGTTTTGCGTCTGATACTGTGTAATGCGATCTGACACACCTTGAAAACGGGTAGTGTGGTCTGATCTATCGGGATCATTCGGTGCCGAGTCTGGTAGTTGGGTAGGCCTGGAGTAGCGGTACGGGAACTTATGGACAAGCCAGATAAATTGTTCTCAAAACAAGATAACGAAGGACAGCAAACTATGAGAAAGTGGGGGGAAAGTCAATGGACACATTTATTGTCCTTTACTATTGTCACAATTGGTTGATAACGCGTTTCTTAGGCCAGACAAAATTGATTAGTTAGTTTTAACCATGTTAAAGCATGAGCGACCAAATTTAAATATGAGAAAAAATCACATCTATTTGTTTTTCAAAAAAAAAAAAAAAAAA